GTGTAATGCCTAACAACATTAACGGTGGTAAAATAAAGAAACACACAGCCTCCTGTGGCGCTTTGCTTTATTTTAAATCTGTCTCTGAACCCAACAGTATATTACTGACAAGCTGGCAAGTCACTCTCTATCAACTGTAATATGAAAATAGCCATAATCTCTGCTCTGCTTATGCTTTCAACAGGCAAAGAAGGCCCTGAAGAGTGTCCTTCAGAAGTGCACTTACCTGCCTGCGCTGGAGCCTCTTCTGTATGAAGCTCCCAGCAACATCCTCAAACACGTCATCTGCCAGTTCAGCAAGGTGCATGACTGGGACTCCCTATCAAACACATATGCTGCCTGTCAAAAGTTTGGGTACACTTAGCTTGCATGTGTTCTTTGTTGGTTTGCAGAATCAATTATCAATTAATCTTTACAAAAGTCAAAAAAGCTGAAGGAACAAAGTGCTGCCTTGGAATTAAAGCCAAAGGCCATGCATTTTATCCCTGTGTTCTGGTGATCTCTTTTCGGCTGTTGAAACCACCTTTGGACCAAAAAAGGCTCAATATACACCTTTGACGATAGTAGAAAAGATGAACATGAAGCTGAGTGTTGAGGCCTTACATAAAAACCTAACCCTAACCTTAACACTCATATGTTTTTGACGTGTTACTGAGACACTCTGTCGAGCGTTTGTTTCATCTAAAAGGAACACTCAAAATAAAGTGCCACCTATTATAATTTTTATATTTATTATTCTGCAAATTTTAGTGCACAACTACTACTTATTTGCTGTGTTTACATATTGGAAAAAAAAATTAACATAGAATATAAAATGTGTCGTAACTTTTACATTTTAAGGTTTATTTTTTCCTCCAATATGTTTAATTCAGAAATTAAACAGTAATTGTGCATTAAAATGTGCAGAAGTGTGTTCTCTGTAGAGGATGTGTTAACTTATTTTCACTAAACATGTAATTGGGCGCCCTGACTGTAACAGTGGAAATCAGATACTCAAATTTCAGAAGAAGCCAAGGTGTCGAAAAACTTTTGAAAAGCAGTGTAATATTGCAACTCAAGGACCTTCTGTTGTGCTCACCTATTGCTCTCCTGTTGTCTGTGTGCTGAAGGTTCTTCCTCACGACAGTAAAGCACGGCGTCTGTTTGTGACCAGCGGGGGGCTGAAGAAGGTGCAGGAGATTAAAGCAGAACCCGGCTCCGCTCTGCAGGAATACATCAACGCCATCAACAACTGCTACCCTGAAGAGATAGTCAGGTTCTTACACGTTAACACTCGTGATAAACATTACAGAGGCTCAGATGATTGGCAAAGCTTAATCATGAAATATGAAGGAACTGGTTGATCATTGATTCTTTCTGATTATTATGATATATTCTTGTAAATTTGTCTTTCTTCAACAGGTATTACTCTCCTGGATACTCAGAGGCTCTGCTGGAGAGGGTGGAGAGCTATCAGCCAGCTTGAGATGTTCTAGGAACCCTATTTCCACAATCCAGTTCATGAACTTCTGTGTTTTATTAAAATTTATCATCTACTGTGATATTATGCACTTTATTTATTTGAGTTCTACTCTGTTTTACTGAAGCTTTGTTATATATGTAATAGGGGAGAGCAGGGCACAACCTAACACATTTATTTGCAACATCATTTTTTAAATATGCAAGTTGAAATAATCATATTTTTATACAAGCAACATATACATCTCTGCTACAAAGGAGCACTTGAACTTTGTTTCTAGCACCTACTGTTTGTGTACAATTCCACCGAAAATGACAGGAAGTGCAATGTTATAATTTACCCCGTGGTTGAGGTTAATTGTAACAGACAGAGGGTCAGTTTAACACTTGCTAGAAAAGTCTGATGAATTACTGCAAACAAAGTTAATTCAATATAATTCTATGTTGTAAGAGACAAATATTTTTTCCAATCGTACTGCATTGTATAAAATCTATCTATAAGACAGATAGACAGCTTAATTAATAGACACACACACATCAAATTATACATGAAAACATGATTGTGTGTCAAACAATGACAAATGTATTTTTTGTCCAGTGAAGGACAGCAAATAAAAATATCACACATCAGTAAAACATGGAACATTGTTTCTTTACCAGCTCTTAATGTGAATTTCATTAATATACTTATGTAAAACCAAAATACTAACATCTCAGAGATACTAATAAAGTAGTATATCCCTGTTTTCAGATGTTTTTTGTTTTTATTCTAAAGTCTGTGTAACAAACAGACAATATTTACTTTATTTGTCTTTGTTTATTTAGGGTGGCTTAGTTGTAATGCTGTGTTAGAACCAACTCCGCAGTACAGAGGCTGTAAGCTTGTCTCATGCTTCAAAACGGGGCCACGTTGTAGCAACAAGATGGTGATTAAAGTAATATAAGGTTGTGATTTTTGTGAGTTACACAAACAGCTCAGTAACTGAAAAAAAAGTGTTGTAAAAAATGACTTGCATGCCCTGAAAACACTCTTTGGTACAGATCTCTTTCAGTTTCTGATGAATCAATCTGAATTTTCATGGGACACTGTGTCTAGGAAATGTGGTGATGTGGCCAGAAGCTCATACTACTTGACCTTCTATAACAACATAAAAAGTCTGTGTTAAACTGTGCCGCGTGTTAGGTTGTTCCCCGTGCTCCCCTATGTAGTATATTTTTTCTGGTAAAACTGTGTTTCAGTGCAAACAGAAGTAAATATTTACATTGCTTGATAGGAGCAATGCCAACATTCACACTGTAATCCTTGCATTATGTTTCAGTTAGACTGGATATATAGTTGATCAAAAAATAAACCAGCACTAAAGTTATTGTGACTGAGAATTTTTCATCAGAATCAGAATCAGAACCATTTTATTTTGCCAAGGATGTTACACATACAAGGAATTTGTCACATGTATGACTTGTGACATACTAAACAGACCAGGCAAGCACATAGATTAACAAGGTATTGTGAAGTGAAAATTAAAATAAAAATACAATACATAGAATTGAGAATAATAAAGAGCCATTGATGAGCTAAAGATGCCTTATATACAGAATTTTAAATACAGAATATTACAGAATGACATGAATATTTGCAGACATTTATATCTGATGAAGCTTACTGATAAAGCAGTTCTAAGATTTGGAAACTATAGGGGGAACCTACTTGCCATTCTAGAGATAGTATAGTGGTAGTGATAGGAACCAGACGTCTGAAATGTCTAAAAGCTGCCTCACAGAAAACTATCAAATGAAATGGTTTCCAGTACACCTGAGGCCTAATGGCTGAGTGTTTTACAATACAAGGTTTTAGCCTAAAACATGAAGGGTGTTGTAAGGCAAAATAGTACGGAAGGAAAACTTATTGTAACACTATTTTAATATTATTCACATTCCATATAAACCTCAGAAGACATGTATAGTTTCGCTAGTCATTTTGGATAGCAAATAATATAACAAAGTGGCTATATTTGTGTTGTAGACATTGTGACCCCTGGTTCCCATCACCACCACTTTAAAGAAATCTGAGTCTGTAAGTTTCTCTACAATGAACCGCTTCACATCAAACCACTCTGAATGACCCTGTTCTCAATCTCAATGATTTAATTACAGGTTTATTTGTAAAAATTATTGTAATTATTATCATTATTATTATTAATAAAACATGTTCATTTGTTGACAATAAAGCTTTATAATAGATGATAATAATAATGTTGTAACAATTATATTACCAGTAATAATACTTCTTTCGCGTCTTATAGAATTCAGAAAAAACATCAGGTCCTAAACTTGATGCACTTGCATGATCTGACTGACTCATTACGCCCCCTGCTGTCTGAATGGTTATTAGCAAATCAGACCAAACTCCCTGTTCCTAGATGCGACCTGTTGTTTGTACTTTTGTATGCTTGCATTATTTTTTTTATTTTTTCCATTTTATATACATCATACATTTATAAATAACTGGATTTCTCTACGGTCTGTTCTGTTCTGAAACAAAACCACGCTTGTGGCGAATCTGCAGACCCAAAAGACGAGATTGGAAAAGGCTCTCCGGCTACGTTCCAATATGGGCAAGTGTGTCCTAACTAGAGCGCCTTACTAGTGTCTAGAATTCTGGCCGTCATTAGAGCGACCTTATATAAAGTAATACGTTTAATTCCACCTGCAGCGCTTAGTTAGTATAATTCTGGACACCATTATGTCCAGCCTTCTTTAGAACTTGTGTACTAGTTAACAAAGAGACGTAAATGATGTGTGTAGAAGGGTTGGGCGCCAACAGGTTTGTTGCACTATAATTAGGGGTCAGAATCATTGGCTTGTAATTAGATCACAAGTGGCCAGAATTCCATGTAGTCACTAAGTGTTCTAGTTAGAACACAAGCATCTAGAACACTAATTGCCAATTGTTCTAATTAGAAGTAGCCAGATTTCTATCTAGTTGCTAAATGTTCCAGACACTCATATTATGAAATATACACACTAGCTCATCGTTCTAACTAGAACACAAGTGGTCAGAATTCTATGTAAATAGTACACGAGCTAGCTAATCATTCTATTTAGAACACAATTGCCCAGAACTATAGTCGCTAAGTGTTCTAAATAGAACTAAAGCTAGCTGATCATGCTATTTCGAACACAAATTGCCAGAACTATAGATGCTAAGCATTCTAGATACTACACAAACTAGCTGATCATTCTATTTAGAACAAAAGTGGCCAGAACTATAGTTGCTAAATGTTCTAAGTAGAACACAAGCCAGCCAATCATTCTTTTTAGAACCCATTTGGTCAGAACTGTAGTTGCTAAGTGTTCTGAATAGAATACAAGCTAGCTAATAATTTTATTTCGAACAAAAGTGCTCAGAACTATAGTTACTAAGTCTTCTAAATAGAGCCAGAACTAGCAACACAAGCAAGCGAATTGGAGCGCAGCCTCCACGTTTGCAGAGTGTCGAAAGTGCGGCGGTCCTCGGCGTATGTTTACTTATTTCCCCCGATTTCATCATGCACTGACTGCGCGGTGCTCTCATGCTGCTGCTGCTGCGGAGAGCGACATCAGTCCTGCGGATCTACACACAGCCTTCAGCCCGCAGAGCCACCCCGCAGCCCCCCTGCACACCTCCACTCAGCTCTCTGCTCTCCCTGTCCCCCTGTCTAGGCAAGAAACACAAGAAAAGCCGCTGGTTGGAGCTTTCTGAAGGTCAAAACATGGACGGAAACGTCGAGGAGATCCTGGCTCCCCTGAGGCAAGCGGTGAAAGAGCAGGTAACGTTAGCTAAAGCTAAATACAGCTACGACACGTTATAAACTAAATTTCATTAACTAGCTAAAAAATTTACTTCGTATTTGCTTTAGTTAGTCTTTAGGGCGGGTTGGCCGGTATGAATGAAGTGCTCTTGCCGTAGCTTGCTGGCCACGTTAGCTAACGTTAAGCCGGTCAGCATTATTTCATTCAAACGGAAGTATCAGCAGCTAAAGATCGCATTCATTTCAGTTTTGCAGTTCAGCTGTTGTAGTTCAGTTTAGCCTCAGTCTTGCAGACGAAGCTGAAGTCAGCATCTTGTTTGCCAGCTTTTTGTTCGAATTTTGTCGTTCCACCTTAAATGGTGCAGCAATTACACTCTGGCCTGAGGCTCCAGACTGTACCTGCTGCAGTATTTAAGGCGGAACGGGCAAATTGGAACAAAAAGCCGGCGAAGAGGAAGCCAGCTTCAGCCTCGTGTTTTGCAGTGCCACGTTTTGAGCTCAGACTCATCTGGCTGCTGTGGAAAGACGGACGGAGGGAGGGAGGGTGAGAACAGGGTTGGGCTCTTTTTCTCTCTGAGCCTGAGTTCACTCAGAAGGCAGTGATTTTTGGGGAGAAAATAGATGGACTGTGAATAGATGTGGGGCAGTGCTTGGCCCAGGTTTTCGTGTGTGCCTTAGTTTAATTTTCGTCTTGCTTCCTCTGCCCAGGGCGAGCTGGTCCGTAAAATGAAAGCTGAAAATGCCCCTGAGGTGGATGTGACCAAAGCTGTGGCGGAGCTCAAGGCTCGGAAGAGGATGCTTGAGGCCAAGGTGAGGACTGATGTGCTTATTCATCCAAATACAGCATCCGTCAAAGGGGAATTCCACCAGTTTTTAAGATCCATGCCTAGTTCAGTCGTCGAAATGTTGGTCATTCAAAGTGGCTTTGTTGGAGAGAAGCGTACTGACTTTGATTTCTTTACAGTGGTGGTGATAGAAACCAGGAGTTGCTATGTTTAAAGTGCAAATATAATGATTTTGTTTACTATCCTAATCCGTCAGTGAATCTTCATGAGTGTTATGAATATGTAAATATAACAATGATGATGATAAAGTTAAATCTGGGGGAAAAAAACAGTTTTATTGGGGTCTATTTTGCTTCTCAACACACTACATGTACGAGTGCCTCAGACATCAGTAACACATATATTACCATTGCTTGTAATAATTTTCAGTGAGGGAGCTTGTACGGGCAGTAAACTCATCAGATATCTGGTTCCTATCAGAAATGTTGTGAACATTTCTGACTCATCAGGTTTCTGTGCAACAGCATTTCACAGCAAAAGCACTCTGGATGACTTTGTGTACATCTCAACGACTGAAACATGTAAACGTGTGGTGGAATTCCCTTTTAGGCTGTAGGTGGGTTGCAGCTGTGTACATTTATTCAGATACCCAGATTTGATGGGTGTGTACTTCTCAGTATTTTCAAATAGTCCTTTTACGTTTTCTCGAGTGTGTATTTGAGGAAATGAATCAACATTTTTCTTCGGTTCAGTTTTAGTTCTTCCCATTTAGTTCCCAATTCCCCCTTCTTGGGTTGTAAATTCATTCTGCTGTGTTGGTTCAGCAGCTTGGACAGCTTTACTGTTGCTCATACCTTTTTGTTTAGAAAGACAGTCTGGCCAAAATGAAAAATGTAACCATCACTACATCAGTTGCAAATATGCTTGCTTGCCTCCTACAGTGGTGCAACAAACTTCAAGAGACTTTCCTGTATAGAAACTATGAAAATCCCCTTCTGATGATGAATCTTGAAGATGGCCGGAACTTTTGAAAAACTACAAGCACATACAGTGGCAGATACATTAGGGCCAACTGTGTGAATTTTGTTTTTTGGTGTTTGGTGGTAGATTATGTTACTGCTAAAGAGCCACATATCTTATGGGTTTCTTTTAGCCTCCACATCGGTGGCTGTGGTAGTATTTCTGTATCGTGCTAGGGGATTCCTGTTGGTTTTCCTATGGTTGTATGATGTATTTGTGTAGTGCATGCTGGGTATTGTAGTTGGAGAACACTGATGGATAAAAATGCAGAAGGATACAAAATCTGGAATTCTGTTAAACTGATGAGGTTATGACACACATTGTGTGCTAATTTTAGGCTGGAATGCCCCTATTACCATTATTTTGGACCAAAAGGAAAGTAGAAGAATAGAGCCTAAAAGGCATGAGATGCTGGATGTATTAAGGAGTTTCTTGGCAGTTGTATATGGATATTTTGGACCTGATTCTGTTTTACTGTTGTTTTTTTGTGATCTACTTTTATTTGTACTTAAGCCACCCCTTGGTTAAAGTAGCAACATTTTTACTTGAATGTGATTTTTAGCACTTCTTCCCACTTCTTAAATGCACAATAACAGGACAGGAGGATTGTTTACCAAACATGTTTTTATTCTCTTACAGGAACTTGCCCTGCAGCCCAAAGATGACATAGTGGACAGAACTAAGATGGAGGACACACTAAAGAGACGGTTCTTCTACGACCAGGCGTTTGCCATTTATGGGGGTGTGTTTTAATTCACAACAATTTTCTTGCTATTATTTTAGTGCAAAAAAAAAAAAACGATTGCAGAGTGGCCTGATTATTAAATTGCTGGCAGTAAGTTCTGTCTGAAACCATTGATGATCATTCCTGTAATTAGCAGACTTTGCTGCCAAATTTCATTCTGGTTGGCAGACAGTGTGCCATCTGTTTAGGGAGTACATTTCATTTCTAATTTCAGTGCTTTTACTGAACTAAGGGCTAAACCAAAATCAGGAGAGTCGAGAGTTGATGCTCTTGCACCTGTTCTTTTGCACTGATGGGAAAAATCAGTTTTACTAGGCTTTAATTTTGGGGTTATGGAATAAATTGAGTAAAAGTGATTTCTTAAAACATTAAAGAGAAAATATTCACCTCATTTGTGGAGTTTCACCAAAAACGGGCAAATCTTTTCCTTACTCTGCTTACCTCATTGAGTATTTGAATGGAAGGAGAAATTCCAGAGAGAATGGGACCTTATATGTTGTGATCTTTAGGTTAAAAAGAATGTAGATTGCATTTCACGTGTTGTGTTGTTGTATATTGAGGACATTGAGACTAATGAGAATCAACAAATAATTGTAGTAATGTTACTATATCCATACCACTTTTTTATGGTTGGTTGATTGACTTGTTTCAGGTGTCAGTGGCCTGTATGATTTTGGACCTGTTGGCTGTGCACTGAAGAACAACATTCTGCAGGTCTGGAGGCAGCACTTCATTCAAGAGGAGCAGATTCTGGAGATCGACTGCACCATGCTGACTCCTGAGCCTGTCCTCAAGTGAGTGTTATAAGAAATGGTCTTTCTAGATGGCCTTGAAGTGAAGTGTTCCCATGTTTTTGACTTTTTAACCGTATAGAATGCTGTACTGTAATCTCCTCCATCTGTGATGTCAGTTGGGAGCGCAAACATCATCATGACAGCTGATCGATAACAAGATTTGTTGTTGGCAACTTTTTAATCAACGTTATCAATAACGTGATTAGTTGTTGCAGCACTTCTTTCCAGCCAGCTGAACAAACACTAGACTATTCAGTTCTTTCGTCTTGATGAGAGCCCTAATTCGAATATGTACTACATACACATAAATATCTGCAGTTGCACAGAATCACGTGTAGTCAAGCAAAGCTACATTTCTTCCTGAGTAAAGATATACTCCAAAAAACTCATTCTGCTAGCGTCCATGATAAAATGTTAGAATTAGCTACATAGCTAAGAAACATTTCTTGCGCCACACTCTAAACGTGTTAGAGCACGAAGTTAGAATTTTTTTTTTTTGTCCCATAATGTGCATTTACTGCTTTTATTTACATTCATCTGCCTCAATCCAACACTCAATTCACATTAATCATCTCTAATATAGGTTGTCTGGGTAAGCTTCTTATTTCTTTTTTGTTTTCCAGATTTCCTTGCAAAAACCTAAAAAAATGAGATGAGATCAGATGCTGAGATCATTGGGCCCTAGTTGTAAAGAGTGGTTGTTTTTAATGCTTGTCAGTAATGCGCATTGTCTGTATCGGAGCAAAACCTCTCATCTCCAAAATAATAACCTTACAGGAGAGGCAAGAAACTTGATTAATTTGTCTTGAATGTTAATGTAAAAGGGGTTTTTTTTAAACCCCATGTAATTATGCACTGTTTCTATTGGTCCCTCCATTATGAAATTTTAACACCGTGTAAATTGCAACTGGCATTTTCAAACTGGCAAAAATGGAGAAATTTTTGCGTGAGAGCAGCAATGTTTTGCAGTGTGTTACGTTTGTAATCTAGACAAGATGCCAGCATATATTACCAGTATATTGTTCCCTAAGGGAAAAATAATAATTGTGCATAGATTCTTATGTTAATGATTGAATCCACTGTGCTGTCCAGTGACACTCATACACTGCTGCTCAGTAGGAGCCTGTTGTTTCTCTGAGTAACACTTGCACTGGTCAACAGCAATGTAAAAAGTCTTTTCCTGACATGCTGTGTTCTCAGTGGAAATGAAATGAAATGCCCTTCTATTTCTTTTCAAGGACGTCAGGGCACGTGGACAAGTTCGCGGACTACATGGTGAAAGATGTCAAGAACGGAGAGTGTTTCCGAGCTGACCATCTTTTAAAAGGTGTGCCTTTGTATTTGTCTATATCATAAGGATCACAGTGGAGGAAATCAGTTAAATCCAATGAAACAGCCTGACCAAAGCAAGTGTTATTATCTCTGTGAGCTTTATAGGCCCCCCAAGTTTATTCCTGAGGCAAGAGGAACTGTAGTAATCTGTAAGAATCACAAGGGCTTATCTAGGAAAAACCAACACTAATCTCTCAAAGGAGCCACTGGATTCGAGCCAGTGGAGGGTCAAGACCAGGTTAGAATTTGTGACAACTTAGATGAGGTGGACAGTAGTGGCAGTGTACTGGTTCATACAGTATTCCACTTGAAATTCTTACTCAGATATGAGTTTGGTCATAACTGTTATATCGCCATGCCATGAATATACGCAGACCCAGATAACAGTGTACAAGCAGCATGTACTACGCTAATGTTGGTGTGTAATGGTAGCATTAGGCAAATAGCTGGGCCAGGGATGATCAGTCATATTTCAGATGAATATTAAAAACACAGCAGCCCCTCGATCACCTCCTGCTGTTTAGTCTATTACATCTAAAGTAGTCCACTCTATTTTCGAAGCAGCAGACATGAAGGAATGGACAGTTTTTTGGGGCTTGCTGGTACTAAATCATATTTTTAATATTTTGCACGGAAAAAAATATTTCATGGTTCTTATTAAAAAAGACACATCAAAGAATAAAAAGCTACTGTTAATCTACAAAATTAGGTTTCATTAAGCATATAAAATGATTTTATTTGAAAATGAGCTTTTTTTTTCTTATGTACCAAAACAGTTAGAAGTTGTATTTATACAGTGATAGTTTTAGCCATACCGCCCACTAATACTGGACAGCATGTGCTGAAGCATTTTGAAAACCACTTACATTGAATAGTCTTAGAGCCATTGTCATGTGGCCTGTGGAAATCAGCCTGTTCTATCAATGTGTAAACAAAAGATTACATCAGTGGAAAATTATGTTCATGCTATTTATTTATCACATAGTTCGCATCAGGTCACATTGTGATGGTATACATTTCTGGGCAATAATATGGAGTTGTTTTGCTGTTTTTGCTCGCATCAACAACAGCAGAACGCACCTTGATATACTGTCTGTTTTTGCTGGACCCAAAGTGGACAGACACTGAATCAAACTGTGTTTTAGTGTATTGTTCTGTTCTGAGCTCACCAAACTTCTTGGAATTAGTCTTCTAATGTAAGACCTGCTGGCGTAGTTCCACTGGGATCTTTATAATGTGCTCTATATTAAGTAACAAGAACTAGTTTGGCATGTTTAGTCAATAGTTGTGAGTCCTCGGTGCAATAATATCTGACGTAGATGCGCACATAGCTGTTTATAAGTTACAGTAAGCACTGCACTGATGTTTGGATAATGGCCACTTTCATTTCTGTGCATTCCTGATTTGACTGTTATTACAACTTGCATTATTCTGTGCCACCATAGCTCATCTCCAGAAGCTGATGAGTGACAAGAAGTGTACTGCAGAAAAGAAGAATGAAATGGAAGGGGTCATCACTCAGGTATCTTTCACTTCATGCTTAGCACCGCGTTCCATTCAGTGTTAAAGGAGCGCAAGGAACGTGTAAGTGGAAAAGCGGAAGACCTAAAACTTTGATACCCAAAACAGCCCAGACGCTCTCTGTCTGAGCTCGATCTGACCCACCCATCACCCAAAGTGGTGAATAAAACATGGTATTTCTAATGATAGTGCTGGTGAAAATTACAGAGTAGAGATGATAGTAGTCTTCATTAGAATGACATTAATAAACAAAGAAAAAAAATGTTTAATTCTGCTTCAAATGTATTAAACAAGCAACGTTTTTGAACATCCCAAGCATTTTTTGTCTGCTTTGTGTAATGACCTTTCACTGTGCAGTACTGATATAGCAAGATTAGCCTTCATTTTCATAATATTGAATGTATTTATATACAAATATAAATGTCCTTTTTGCTGAACTGAAACTTAATCTCTTGGATCATTTCACTGTTTTCTATCCTGTGCATCCATTTTTGCCTCATGCTAAATTCGGTCATCAACATGAGCAGGTGACTCGAGCATGCTAGAAATGCAGGGTAAAATCTATTAAAAACATATATTTGGGGAAAACATCCGAACCCGATGTGATTAAGCTTTATCTCTTTTTAAGCTGTAAAGGGTCTATATGCTTGTTTACTTTTACCTTTGGGTTCACTGTATAATGTTTGTGTGGTTTTATGTACCAGAAACAGTCCAAACAGGCTGTTTTTGTTAATGTAACTTTTTAAGTCACATTAATTGATGTATTTAATTACTATGTAATTAATTTCCATAAATGAGCTCTGTTCTGATTGGCTGGCCTGTACTATGCCTTGTTCCAAAAGCAGTCCGAGCTGAAATACATTTATTTGAAGATTTAGGGTTTTTTCAGTTATTGTACTTCAGATTAAGGTTTTGTTAATATTTTGGATGAAATATCAAAAGGATAAGCAATAAAGAATGGTTTACCAGGGATGCCGATATTTGTAGAGGGCACTGTATGTACTAGGGAACGTAACAAGTACATTTTTAAACTTTAACAGTGTTTACATGTACATCTTTTTATTTGAATTCAGTTTTCCATGATCTAGACCTTTAAATTTGATCGTGTTCAGTAGTTAAATGGCATGTTTGGTGGGGCTGAACTAAGAGATGAATTGCTTTGTGCTGCTGGTCTCCACAGATGGACAACTATACTCAGCAGGAGTTGGCTGACTTGTTTGTGCAATACAACGTGAAGTCACCCAGCACAGGAAATGACCTCACACCACCCATCTCATTCAACCTGATGTTCCAGACGTCCATTGGACCTGGGGGGAACATGCCAGGGTGAGTAAAGACAGCTGTGAATAGAATTACTCTGCTCCTAGAAGACCTGAAGCACAAAATCTTATAGAACAAAAGTTCTTGTTCCTTTATTATTCTTGTTCAATTTCTGCAGCTATCTGAGGCCTGAAACTGCTCAGGGAATCTTCCTAAACTTCAAACGTCTGTTGGAGTTTAACCAGGGCAAGCTGCCATTTGCAGCTGCTCAAATTGGAAACTCCTTCAGGAATGAAATCTCGCCACGCTCGGGCCTTATTCGTGTCAGGTGAGTGCTCTGGCATTTAATACTGAATTTGTGATAATGAGTTGGATTTAAAAAAAATATATAAATATTGAATTCACATTTGTATTCACCTACTTTCTCTCTCTTAGAGAGTTTACAATGGCTGAGATTGAGCACTTTGTTGACCCGAATGAAAAGGTTCATTCCAAATTCTCCAATGTTGCCGATCTGGAGATCTTGCTGTATTCCTCCAAAGCGCAGACAAGTGGGCAGTCAGCCCAGGTTATGAGACTGGGGGATGCAGTGGAACAGGTGAGAAATCAATATCCCACTCAGCTAGTGGGTGTAAAATTTAATCATGATTGATCAGTCTGAAGGGGATTGAACTCTATCAAAACGAAATACTCAGGCGTGATGTGTTTATATAATCTGTGTTCTACTACTGTGTAAACAGTTTATTCAGTCACATTTGAATGTAAAGAATATTTAAAAGACAAAAAACGTCTTGGTAAAATTGAGATTTCATGATGCATTGAATTGTTTCTTAAAGAGCTGTAATTTGGGGTCATAGATTTATACCCCTACTCTCAACAAATCTACAGTTTACATAAAATTAACTTTAAAAATTATTACTGTATGCAGGCTACAGTATGTGCCACAAAATCCACAACCCACAAGGTTATGAAAAGGTACAAATGTGTCTTTTCTCTGAGGAAAAACTTCAAACTTAGCTTGAAGGATGCTATTGAAAGTTGATTGCTTATGTCTACAAACATCCAGAAGGGGGAGATCTTACTTTTTTTCTTCATTGATGAAACGGCAAAGACGAAATACCACGTTTCACGTTTTCTGTCTGGACTACAGCACCATATTTCAATAATATCAGTCCCAGCTATTCAGTTTTTTTTCTTTAAGAACCAAGAAATTCTGTAATTTAAAACCAACTGTTTTACACTGAAATTGCAAAATAGTTTCACAGCTCCACTAACAGTTTGAAGGTGTCTGCGCCGACCAGCACAGGAGAGTGAAGCGAACAAACCCTGTTTTTACTCCCTATTTCAAATCTTCATTACCGTTAAAATTATTTGTGAATTCTTATTTTTTTGTGTCTTTGTTGTAGGCCTATTTATCCTTTTTTGTTGGTTCCTAACTTCTCTAACTAGTATAGGCAGACTTGCTGCTGAAGACCTTCTTAATAGGCAACAACTCTTGTATGAGAGGATTGCTTTTGCACAGTGTGATTCGTTTATATATTTATCTCTTGTTTTTAGGGAGTCATCAACAACTCTGTTCTGGGCTACTTCATCGGTAGGATCTACCTCTACCTGATCAAAGTTGGTGTGGCCAAGGACAAACTGCGCTTTCGCCAGCACATGGATAATGAGATGGCCCATTACGCTTGCGACTGCTGGGATGCTGAGACCAAAACCTCTTATGTATGTCCTTACAACCTTAAAATGGTGGAGCCATTTGCTATGAGCCCTGTGACTTATTTTGGGTTTTGTGTTTGATGCCTCCTTACAGGGCTGGATCGAGATTGTGGGGTGCGCTGACCGTTCATGCTATGATCTTTTGTGCCATGCACGTGCTACCAGAGTCCCTCTGGTTGCAGAGAAACCTCTGAAGGAACCCATATCCTTGACTTGGACTTTTGTCTTGTGACTTTCAGACTGCTTTTGAGCATATAGAGTGTAGAATTACCTTCACTTATAGCATTACCTACCTGCAAAATTGCAGGATCTGTATCCACAGTTCATATAAATGTCCTTAACGGCTTCACACAAAGTTGTTAATGTTGTCCAGTTTGAGCCAAACAAAGGAGCCATTGGCAAGGCATACAAGAAAGAAGCAAAGTTGGTAATGGAGTTCCTTGCTGCATGTGACGAGTGCTATATCACAGATCAGGAGAAGCTACTCAGTGAGAATGGGTGAGTATCTGCTGTGTAGTGGCTGCACTTGGTCTCAGTTATTGTCAAAGCAAATTGACCTATTGCAATCCTTTGTGAGAAACAGGATGCCCTTCATATCACAGTGTCCTCTTAATCTTTCTGCAGTGAGTTCACCGTCGAGACCGATGGCAAAACCTTCAAACTCACTAAGGATATGGTGAGCATCAAGAGATTCCAGAAAACCTTGCATGGTAAGAGAATGAAACTGAATTTTATTACTTTCAGTAATTCAGTAACATGATTTTGTCTTGCAAACATGGAGTTCACAAAGTTTCCAAATTTCAGCACTAATGTCCTTTTCTGATTTGTTGCCCTGTATTGTGCCTCATTCAAAATGCAGTCCAGGCTGAATCACTCATAACTTCAGTGTGAATGGGTGGAGCTAAACTGCTTCAGGCTGAATAGGCATTTTTGAATCACAAAAACAGTGTATTCAAAACAGGGTGTTTCAGCAGCATTTTTTTTAATACATGGACTATGGAATAACTAGTATGTTTTAAAACTGCATGCATTAATGGCATTAAAATAAAAGTTTGTAGCAGTAATAATTTGTTGCATGACATTTGGTGTCATTAGTGTAAATTCCTATTGAAATAGAAGCTTTTCCAAAATTGTTCTCAAAAAGCAATATCAAGAAGCAAATGTAAATACTAGTTCTCATAACAATTCAGGGCAATGGTTGACCTTGCGTGAAGGAATATTTAATATGTAAGGCATATCACACTTGCAGTATGTAGAAACATATTCCTAATATAGTGTTTAATTTAAATTAGCCAATCCTTGTTTGTGTTTTTTTTGTTTTTTTTGTCAGTGTTAAATGAGTATGTGTTTCTCTCCTCAGTTGAAGAGGTCGTCCCCAACGTAATTGAGCCTTCCTTTGGAATTGGCAGAATCATGTACTCTATTTTTGAGCACACATTCCGCATCAGAGAGGGTGATGAGCAAAGAACGGTAAATATGATTAACTAAAATGGATTCTGTAGTGTGAGTGTCTGTAGGTGCTGCTGTGGAAATAATTGCTGTGAGTGAAGCTAACATTCCTTTTTTCACTTAGTTTTTCAGTTTCCCGGCCACTGTAGCACCCTACAAATGTTCCGTCCTACCACTCAGCCAAAATCAGGAATTCATGCCGTTTGTGCGTGAACTATGTGAGTACTTGGTACACATCCTCTGCACTTTAAATGCGATAACTATATTTAGGTATTATTGTAAATCATTATTAGGAATGGGAATCTCTGACCTTAGTTGTGTCTGCAATTCCTCAAGGATCTCAAAGTTTATAAATTATTACTGTGTTAATAGTGTGTTCTGTGTATTTTGAATTTATTATAATCAGTTATAATATTCAGTAATGCAAATGCCCCAAGAACTTCTATTTTGGACAAGAAATGGACACATGCTTTATTCAGTATTATCTTGTTACTGTTAATATATCATTGATTCTAACATTTGAAGATCAATATAGTTTAGTCAGATCAATGCACCACAATGCTTCAGTGCATTGTTACGGTAAAAACACGGTTTAAACACTTACCTTCTGCTCCATAGCTGAAGCCTTGACCAAAAATGGCGTGTCCCACAAGGTGGATGATTCCTCAGGGTCCATTGGTAGGCGCTACGCGAGGACAGATGAGATCGGCGTAGCATTCGGCATCACTATTGATTTCGACACGGTCAACAAGACACCCCACACAGCTACTCTCAGAGACCGGGACTCCATGAGGCAGATCAGGGCTGAGGTAATAAAACCGTTCTATGTCAGCTGCACACACAAGTGTTCAGAATATCTGGAAGGAGTTTTTAAAACCTGTGCACCTGTTCAATTCTATTATCAATTATTATTGATTTTTGATTTTACTAGTTATTAAAATTACAGACTTATCTCTTTTAAAGACAAATGAATATGTACAGAGATGTACAGGGTGAAAAACATACAGCTGTTGTTACGGACACAGGGAGCTGGTGATCAGTTTGGTTATGTGGTGCAGTAACCAATTGTGTCGTATCCACAGTCACATGTTGAGATGTAACACTGGAACGCACATCGAGCAGGAGATACAGTGGTTGATAAAAATGTTATAAATATGTTAATTATTTGTTTAAGTTTAAAGACAATAGTTGGTTACTTTGGGGCTCAGAACTGGCTTTTTGCACCTCGATTGTGTTTTAGTAACACGCCCCTAAAGTGACCCGCAATTAGCGAGGAAAGCGATTTGGCTTGCTCCCATTGAAATACATTAACAAGGTTACAGCTCCAACCAGTTTTGAAAATATATAAAATATATCAGTTCGAACTCCTACCCCTACTTCCTGCTTCCCTGACTATAGTCACACCATTTGGTAATTCCGAAAGAACAAGTATGGTGAGTAAAGGGCACTTGTTTTAATGAAGTAACTACTTAAGAGCTGATGCAGTTGCATCCCATGCTAATATTGTATTTGATTTAGCTTCATCATTTTTAGTAGTGTTCTTAAGCAAAACAGTATCCTGATTATCAGAATAGCCTTTTAGCGGCAGGTAGACCAGCAAAAAAATAAACTGAGCTGGTTTGAAGGTGAAGGAGCCATCAAGTATTCCTGTCAGTAGGGACCAAACTGAACCCAAATGTAAACCCAAATGTAAATTCCTCATTCTGTCATAATAATAAGTCACAATACTTACTAGTGAAGGACATGTGAAATGGCCAGAAATTGTATTATAATATACTTTTTCATATTGTCGCTGTCCAAAGAAAACCATGTATCTCCATTTGTTTTGTTTTTTTTTCCGATTTCTATTTTTCTGCGTAATTTTAACACACCAGCTGTCCTTTATGTTGTGTGAAATTATGATGAATGGACCAGTAGAAATGCTCTAAAATCACTTGGAATAAAATCTCTGTACATTAACTTACGTTTAAAGGTAAGAGGGTTTTTGCCTTCTCCTGTAAAGTTACCATTTTGGAGAGGTTTTTCTTTTCTTATCATACAATGTTGATCATTATTAATAGCTTTTATTTATGTTACATTCAGTCAGTTCAGTCAGTATAATTATAAATAAAAAGATCAAAGCAAATATCTATGTTAAGGGCATTGCACTATTACTGGGCTTTCTGCCAATTGGACATTCAGCACTCAGCATGCAACAAAAATGGGGATTAAAAAATAATAAAATTGCTGTAGTGTTCATCTGGACTTTTTTGTCACTATCTCCTCTTCTCTCAAGTTGTTTTCCTCAAAGGCAAGGTCTTCTTTACCCTCCATACTTGAAATACTGAAAGTAACTAGCAAGACAAATGATGACACATGGTGAATTGTCTCTCCCTGTTTGGCCAAATAAAAGGTGCACAGCGCCACCTGGTGTACAGAAATCGCAACTGTTCAAATTTCAAAGCTTTTTTACTTATATTGAACTGAGGAGCATAACAGCATAATTTATCATATGCCTCAAATTATTTAGATCACTTTCATTACTATTAGTTGCTGATTAATATGCTCTTAGAACTGAATAATAAGTCTAGGCTTTAAAGGGTTAAATGAGGTGACAGTAACTATCAGATCTTTCATTGTTAAGTGGTCGTCCCAGTGATGCTGATAGTTTTGCATTGTCACCTAATTTGTGTCCATTTTTTTTTCTGATCCTGCTTCTGTGTTTGCCAACTGAAAGGAATGCTAATTTTTTAAATTTTTTTTTTTTGTGTGTTAGGTCCTTGAATTGCCTGAAATCGTCCGAGACCTTGCCAACGGTGTGACCACATGGGCTGAGGTTGAGAGCAAATACCCCATCTTCGAAGGGCAGGAGACCAGCAAGAAGGACACGGTGGAAGAGTAAATTAGCCCTGGCTTCCTCCCTCTTGCCTCCTGCACGTGGGGCAGCCATGGACATTTTTACACTTTGCGCCCATAGGAACAATTTTATTGCATACAAACGATCAATGTGCACCAGACACTCTATGTGATCTGCACAGTTACAACCATCTTATCAAATAAATAAAATCTATCTGTGATCCTTATACTGCAAAGGAGGTGTATAGATACTTGCTTCTGCCAGTGTTCAAGGAAGCTTCTTACAGGCATAATGGGACGTATTTTAAAAGGGATAACTGTAATATGAGTTGTGTATGGAGAAGAGGTTTTCACCATTCAAGAAGTTGGGTAATTATGGAATGCATCTTTGGTTCAATAAATCAAGCCAGCACTTTCTGGACCTACAACAGTGTGAGTTGTGTCTGATATCTGAATGGCCTGTTGAACACATTGGCACTGACGGTGTAATTGTTTTTGTGTGTATGCATACATGCTTGAATGTTGTTACGGCACACATACTGAGCACTGAACATTGTCCAGACGATACTGTGGAAAAGAGTCCACCCTTGATTTAATTTTCAGTCGAACATTAAGTTATTCATTTTTCAATGTCAGGTAAAGACTGAAAACAGAAAATTACAGGAGTCTCAACAACTAAATATGACACTAAATCTTTCAATATTTGGTGTGTCCACTTTTTACTTTATTCCAGCTTCTATTTTTTCAGGAGACTTGGTTTGTTTTTCAAAGAAATCTTTTTCTTTTTCAAAGGAATATTTTTCCACACATCCAAAGTTCAGTCTTTGAAGTTGGTTGCGTTTTCTGCCTCCAAGCGTTTTCTCACCGTCAAAGTAATCCCAATTACAAACGTTACTCCACATCTCATATCAACATATGTGAATCCATAATTGAAAAGTGTTAGAATTTAAATCAGTATTTGACTACTGCAAAAATAACATGAGGCCTGTGTGGCTTTGGAGTTCTAAAATGAACTGTTTAGTTCTGTTTACAACTGTTTAGTTTTTAAACAAGGTAAAGCTATTGTAATACAGAGTGATGTAGAGTTACAGTGGATTAGTTGTCTGTGTGGCTTTGTTAAAGTTATAAAAACCTGAATAATGACATTCTATCATCTTTTATCTTAATATTTCTGTATGTTTGTCCTTTAATATTTCTCAATATTATTTAAGTACTGTAAGGGTTTTTCCCACTGGGGACAGTTGTAGTCAGGCAGATACTGATACCACACTTTCAGAGAAGACAGGCCATGCTTGTTTCTTTTTGTTCCTCAAGCTTACTGAGTATCTAAACAATGAACAAAGCCGTCATTCTCCAAACAGTGCCTGCCCTATTCGGACCGATCAGAAATGACATCCAGGTAAGTTGTTTTATTTGTACTTAAAGCTAATTTAACACCTTAAACTCCTTAAACTTCTAGTATAGGTCCATGCTTCATCACTTTATCATACCTTATATATTACGATCCTCAATTCCGAAAGAAGTTACAACAGTATGTGAAATAATAAAAAAAGAAAGCAGTGGTTAGCAAATTCTGTCTGACCTGTATTAAAAACAGTACAAAAACATATTTAATGTTTCACCTAATGAATTTTATTCTTTTTTGAAAATACATGCTCACCCCAAATTTGATGCCTCCAACATGTTTCAATAAAGTTGACAGAAGTATGTGTAGAACTATTTTACCTCCCCTTTCCTTTTAACAGCACCTAATAATCATTTGGGTGCTGAAAACACCAATTAATCCAGTTTAGAAAGTTTTATTGCTATTTTCCATTGTACAAATCTTCAGCTTTATAGCCATACATATAGCCTTTGTTGACACATTTTATGCTTCACAATATGCTGCATGTTTTCAATAGGAGGCGGCTGTGGACTGCAAACAGGTCAGTCTAGCACCTCGACTCTCCAGTTATGCAGCATGTCACACATGCAGAATGTAGCCTGGCATTGTCATGCAGAAATAAGCAGGGACATTCCTGAAAAAGACGTCATCTAGAAGGCAGCATGTGTTGCTCCAAAATGAGTGTTCCAGCTTTTAGTGCCTTCACAGATGTGTTACCCATGTCATGACAGAACATGGACTTGAACTTTATGCTGGTAACATTTCATAATGTTCCTAGTGTTTAATTGCCCCTGTCTACACTTTTTTGCAATATGCAGCAAGCATCAATTTACAAATGTGTGTATAATTGAGAAAAACAACAAAGTTGGTTGGGTTAAACATTAAATTTTTTGTTTTAGATTGTTTTTGTTTAAATACATGTGAAGTGGATGTACAAATCCATGCTTTCTGTTTTTATCTGTATTTCACACACTGTTTTAGCTTTCTGGAAATAAGGCGTGTAGTTTTATAGCAGTATGAGTAATTTAATATTAAGTTCATGTAAGTTAAATCAAGATGTAGAATCAGAGTCAGAATGAAGCTTTATTGGCCAGGTATGCTTACGCATACAAGGAATTTGGTTTTGGTTACAGGAGTGCAGTTTGAAGCTGGAATATTGTTTTTGTGTAATATTTTAACTGTTCAAGAGAGTGATGGCTTGTGGGAAGAAGCTCTTTTGTAGCCTGGATGTCCTGATCCTCATCTGGCTGAAGCACCGGCCTGAGGGAAGGAGCTGGAACAGGTGGTGTCCGGGGTGAGAGGGGTCTGTGGAGATCTTCTCTACACGCTTCCTGGTTCTGGAGGCATGCAGTTCCAGCAGTGTGGGCAGCTTAACTCCAATAGTTCTCTCTGCAGACCTGATGATGCGCTGCAGTCTGTGGAGGTCATGCTTGGTGGCTGAGCTGCCCCACACTGTGATGGACATGGTGATGACAGACTCTCTGATGGCTGTGTAGAACCGCACCATCAGCTCCTGGAGCAGGTTTAACTTCCTCAGCTGACGCAGGAAGTACATCCTCTGCTGGGCTCTCTTGATGATGGAGCCGATGTTGCTGTCCCACTTCAGGTCCCTGGTGATTGTTGTGCCCAGGAACTTGCAGGACTCCACTGCCATCACAGTTCTGTCCAGGATGGTGAGTGCTGACAGGGCTGGAGGGCTACTCCTGAAGTCCACTATCATCTCCACTGTTTTCGCTGTGTTCAGCACCAGGTTATCGTGGCAGCTCCAAAGGACCACCTGATCAACCACCCATCTGTAAGCAGACTCGTCACTGTCTCAGATGAGACCAATGACTGTGGTGTCATCTGCGTACTTCAGGATTTTGACTGAGGGGTCCGTGGAGGTACAGTCATTCGTGTACAGTGAGAAGAGCAATGGTGAGAGTACACAACCCTGTGGAGCGCCTGTACTGATGATCTGGGTGTTTGAGGTTAACTTTCCCAACCTCACCTGCTGCTCTCTGCCAGTGAGGAAGTTGGTGATCCACTGGCAGGTGGGGGTTGGCACGCTGAGTTGGAGTAGTTTGTTGTGTAGCTGTCCTGGGATGATCGTATTAAACGCTGAGCTGAAGTCCAAGAACAGAATTCTTGCATACGTTCCTGGGTGTTCAAGCTGATGGAGAATAAGCTGGAGTCCCATGTTCACTGCGTCGTCCACCGACCTATTTGCTCAGTATGCAAACTGCAGGGGGTCTAGCAGAGGATCTGTGATGTTCTTCAGATAGGAGAGCACCAGTCTCTCAAAGGATTTCATGACTACAGAGGTCAATGCAACGGGTCTATAGTCATTCAATCGTGTGATGGTTGCTTTCTTGGGAACTGGAATTATGGTGGAGCGCTTGAAGCGGGAAGGTACGGCACACAGCTCCAGTGATTTGTTAAAGAGCGCTGTAAACACTGGCGCAAGCTGGTCGGCACAGACCCTCAGACAGGAGGGCGATACACCATCTGGTCCTGGTGTATGCGTAATGTAGGCATAAATGATAATATATTTGCACCAAAGTTATGTATATATGCACTGTTTTTGAAAAGAATGTATCCCTGCTGATAAAACCCATAGAAGTGTTTCTGTTGGTTCCTGATGGTTTTGTAATGTGTTTTGGCTTTTTTTAATGGGTTGATATCACAATGTAAAAGATTCTAATGGTTTAACAGGTCATGAACGGCTGATTCTAAGTCCTTTTTCAGCAGGAATGAATTACTTTCAACCCTACAGGTCAACGCTCAACAGTATTGTAAGCTTGATCATTTGTCACGCTCTTGTCTTTGTGTAGGGTGGTGCTGCAGGCCTATCTCATCAGCTCTGCCCACTTCTGAAGCCCCGCCCCCTTCACCTTTAACTGTCCGCAACTGCCCAGCTGGCAGCCTGGACGTTCCATTGCTTTCAGCACCAGTTCTGGATCTAGAGAGTTTTCAGCTGCACTTTTAAAAGTGATTATTCTTTCAATCCATTATTATTCTACTATCTACTATTATTCTAAGGGGATCTGACTGATTTAAACTCCTTTTCTGCTTTGCAGTGGCTTTGCTGCGCTCAAGGTTAGTACAGCAGGTGTCACTAGGAACCATTTGACAGCTGCTTGCGGTGCATGGTGACCTAATTTCATCGAAAAATCACAGAAGACTGTCCATCTAACAGCATTTACTGATACTCACCTACTTTAGTGCATGTACCCTTACAAAACCCACAAACCTCAGAATTCATTCTCTGAACAGTTATGTGTCTTTGTTGCTGTAAAGTAGTGAATCAAATAACAAAAATAATGAAAAAACTCACACCAGAATGCTCTTGTGTGATGCTCGGAACACAATTGAGAGGAGAGAAATAGCCTGGTTAAAAATAGCGAGGCCTGCTGCGCAGTGTAAATGCTCCAGCTCACATTCTGCTGGAAACTTTTGCCCTCACTCGACTTGAAAATGTTGGGGGAAGTTGGGCACTTTCCAATCAGATACTGACCTGGAAGACTCACCATTAGAACGCTATACCGTTTAAAACATCCTCATGTGGAAATCTAACCTTGACACGCCCCCTTCTTTAATGTTCTGCTAACAGTTTTCCTGACATTACAACATAAACTCATCTTTTTATCTTCTTACATTAAAAATACTCATTTTAAGTGTGTTGTAGTAAGTTAAGTGCATTATAGGAGTAAAAGTGTGTTACTGTTTTAAGTTTAAAAAATATCCTGTTAACAATTTAACATGGTAACAACATTAACAGGTCTTTTTTAACTGAAAATTACAAGTTAACTCTGTTAAGCAAGTGAAAATAAGTTAACACATCCTCTACAGAGAATACACTTAAGTATGGCACTTTTCTGCAAATTTTACTGCACAATTTCTATGTATTTGCGGAATTTAACATATTGGAAAAAATATATAACATATTAATTGTGCCATAACTTTAAATTCAAGAAATAAATAGTAAATGTGCATTAAAATGTGCAGAACTGTGTTCTCTGTGGAGGATGTGTTTAATTGTTTCCATTTAAAATAAATAAATAAAATAAAATAAAAAGTAATTTAACCAGGGGTGATAACCTGTTTTCATTCCATTGATTACAAGACACATGCACTATTGCATTCTTCTTGCAAAATGCTAAAATGAAATAACTGATTTATCAATATCTAATAAATGCTGGGTTTTATTTGGTTGCATTTTATAATACTATCTGGTATTCCAGTATTCTAGTATTTAAGTATACCATCCTAGTTTTCTAGGGTGGTAAATTTGATTTGCTTTCAATTAATTGCTCATATTTCTATGGAAACCCCTGTATCTTTTAAGGGTGTGACAATTCCAACAAGTTTCGGAGAAACAGCTTTGAAACAGTGGACCGAAATATAAAATTGTGTCACTGATACACCCCTCGCTCTCTTCTGAACACCTCATATTTACTGTCTTTTGTAGAACCCCGTGTCAGTAATCAAAACAAGGCAAATGGATGCATCCTATCACAGTAAAGTTGGTGGAGAGGGGGGCAGGGTCTATGCTATGGACACACCCATTCTCAAATAACTGGATTTTTTTCTGAGGCACTTATAAACTCTAGAATACTGTTGGTTAAAATTCGCCTGAGAGTTACCAAAACCCCACCTCACTTTCAGTGTGAGAGTAAACATACTGGGGTGTCAGCGTAAAGTAAGATGCAGGAGAGACCCTGATTCTGCTGCAAATAATGCTTTTTTTACTGGCACACTAGCAAAAAGGCACATAACATCACACCAACACAATGGGGGAGGTCACCATTAGCCACAGGCTTCCACCTCATGGTGACCTCTAGACACAATGAAACACAAACAGCACAAAACACATCTTTAAACTAACATACAAAGACATTAACAACATAAATGTCCTTTTTTATGAGGAGCGTGTGCCACCCATGAGACTCTTCACATGGCCCTCTGCATAGCCACGCCTCCAGAGCCTCTATGGCAGCACGAACCAGCATGGAATGCTATAGTATTTCAAATTTTATATAACATATTCAATTCTCATTATCTTTTATGACGTATTTCAGTAACAGAATAGTGTCAGTTTTATTGAATTCATTTTTTAAAACCTACATACATTATTGCCTATGGTTTTGTGTTTTTGGGCCCTCAGCCCACCAGCAGCATCACAGTTTGGCTTCCCAAGACTTAATATGCAAACATATTGTGTTGTAGGGCAAAAATCACAATACTTTATTGTAAAAATTGTGAATTGTTACACCCCTAGTATCTTAAGTTATGCTTTTAACTAAAATACAGTTTTACATTTTTAAGATTTCTTTTGTTGTGCTGTGCTTTGCTCTTGCAGGATGGGGGTCAAAGCAGCTCTACCCAAGTATGAGCTCTACTGTTACTATGTCGTGCTGTCCATGGCCATGCTCTGGGCTGCCAGCTGGATTTTGGAGGTGTCCAGCTGTAAGTGTGAATGGACACACACATCCTGAGGTGACATTAAACAGTGCTCTCAGCTCAGCATGTCACTGCACCTGCCACTGGTTCTTTTTTGAGAGCAGCTATCTGAGCTGAAGTGCCTACTGTAGTGCCTACATCTGTTTTCAGGTCAGATTTTGCCAAGATGTAAGAACTAGTATAATTAGCATGGATAGTATTAACCTCCCATATAGAACAAAACCGTACGTATAAATAAAAATGTCTTAGTACCAAAATGCCAAATGTAGAAATATACAAGCACATACATTTCTTCACATCTAAAATATATGCCTGTATATTTCAATACATGTAGCATCAAAATTCCAAACAAAGAAGAATACATGTACATATATTATCTCATATCCGAAATATATGGATATATTATTAGATAGTGTAGTGATTATTATTTGTCATGTGGAAAACTAGAGTTTAAGCCCTGCCTAAGACAGGGCCTTATGTCATTTCTAGCATTAAACATATGCCAATACATTGACATATTGGTAAATATGTTAAAATATATGTTCATGTATTTTTATTAGGGCCAGTTTCTCAGACCCAGATTAGGCACAATCTTAGACTACCATGCTGACAAATCTAGATAAAACCAGATTTTGCTGGTAGCTGGTCTTTGGTGGTCAAGCTGGTTAACCAGCTCAACTATATGAAAGCAATAGTGCTGAACAGCTAGCTGGTTAAGGTGGTATACTAGCATAAGGCATGTTTTAGATGGTCAACCAGCATGACTGGTTTGAATATGCTTAACAGGTCATGCTGCAAGACCAGCTAAACCATCAAACTCAAACCAAAACATACCTCACACAGGTCAACCAGCTGGTCTACCAGCTTAACCAGCTTGACCTTGCCAAGCTGTTTTTTTCCAGCAAACCACCATTGATATTACAATTTAGTCCCAGAATAGGCCCAATCCATCTTCACGAAACCAGGCCTTAGTGTTACTTTGCTAATCTTGCCCCCTTCACAGTTCAGCTGCAGCGTGCCCCTCTGCATGCACAGCTATTTATTTCTCTCCACTGTTGCCCCTATCCAGGAGAGCACACAGAGTTAGTGTATTGTCTGAGGGAAAGGGCAGAGAGCAGTGGGCTGGGACCAGCTGCTGAGAGCTATGCCGACTACGCAGCACGGATCATATGTCAGTATTAATACACTAGAGACAGGAAGAAAAATAGGAATGGTGAGGCTGTTCGTTTGTTAGGTCTCTATATACCCCCAGTACAAAAGAAAGCTAGGACTGGCAATGAAAGGCAACAAGCCAAAACGTATGGAAGGCTGAATAATATCAAGATGAGTCTTTTATTACAAAGGAGAACACTGTAGAACTTATGATCCTGCGTTTGCGTTACTGGTTAAATGGCTAAATGCTAATGACAATGTTTTACATTCGCTGAAAAAAAAACTTCTGAAAAAGAACTGTCATAATACCACAGTATAACAGTTCACTCCAGTTCACTATAAGATCTCACTCCAGTTCACTATAAGATTTCACTCCAGTTCACTATAAGATTTCACTCCAGTTCACTATAAGATTTCACTCCAGATCACTATAGGATTTCTATAGTTAATACTTAAAGGAATACTATTCCTGTAGTACTGTTTCATAGTAATCTATAGTACTTGTGCACTACCTTACAGTAAAGTTCATAATTATCCAAATTCATCGAAAAGATTCTACAACACTTTGCTGTATTAACAAGTCTATGACAGGTGTACTTTGCTTTTCCCTGTTAAGCAAATGCAAACCGCAAGTCCTTCAAGTCCAATATCCAGCCAGGATGGTACTACTTCAGCAGGAAAATGGTGAGATCTAATCACAAAGCACTCTTGTGCAAAATGTATTCTACTGCTTTACTGTAAATAACATCATGGCTCACATGGCTAAAGTCAGTCTCCTCTGTACGCCCCTGTAGGACACGGCTGATTTGGAGTGGATGATGTGGTTCTCCACTTTCCGCGAGCACATCGTCTTTGCTCTGTCCGGTCATGTCATATTTGCCAAAATTTGCTCCATGCTGGCTCCACAGGTGTGTCTCGACAGTTAATACACTGTTTGCAGGTTACACTTTATGCTTAGTAACCTAGATGAGCTGAGACAGACCCTCAGTTTAGTAACTTATTCAAGAAAGCCTGTTCTTTCTACTGGTGGAATTGAAATCAATGCTGATCATTTTAATTAGTAGAATCGAATACAATATTTTTCCCCATTACTCTGTTATCAGATTAACTAGGACACGGTTGTATCTCTGTGAGTGAAATGTTGTGATTATGTTGGGCTGCTAGCGAGCAATGAGGAGCAAAGGAGGAAGGTGGGAACCTCCTGCTATTAAAATAGTTCACTCCACAAAGACGGCAGTGTCAAGATAAAACAGACATCATAACTGCACCTTTCTTGATGTCACAATATTTGACTGTTGACTTGCTTTCTCGCCTACAAAGACAAAAAACAGTTAGCAGTTTTGTAAGTCATACACATTTCCATCAGCATATATTCAACTGAGGGACCTCCAATACAGGTGGAAATTGCATTTCATTGCTACTGAGAAAAGGAGTTCAATTTGGACAGATTTCCTCTTTGTTTGCAAGGCTTTACTGGTCTATAGTTCTGATTACAGAAGACTTAAAAGTATTTCAGCTGCATATATTTTGGAATGATATGATACATTCTCAGTAAAAGTATTTAATAAAATATGTGCAGAGTTTTTGGACAAAAAATGCATATCGCTGCTGTCAGAACAAAACCTCATATCTCCAAAAAGGTAACTTTACAGGACAAGGAAATACTTTTAATAGAAGTAAATGGGGAATTTCCAAGTAATTTTGGACCACTTCTGTTGGTCCACTCATCATGAAATCTTTTGGTCAGATTGCCTTGTGAATGATGGTCATAGACCTACTAGATGTTTGTCCACTACACTCTTCACTTCTAGCACTCTTACATCTATCGAGTATTTGAAGGGGCAAAAGAAATTACAGGAATTTTAGACCTACATGACCCAAAGCACATCCTCACATGTCCCTTCTCTCCTCTGACAGTACCGCTCACTGGTCTACATGGTATATGGTCTACTGGCCGTGCTGACCAGTATGGGCTGGACATACGTCACCCTCATCCTCTCCCACTGCGTGCTGCTCTACAGCATCTCTCTGGTTAAACTCCGTTGGCTCTGCTTCACTGCTGGACTCACCACACTAGCCACATTTAAAATGGAGCCATTCGTTTCCTGGCAGGTATAAACAGGGAATAGTAAAACACCTTCTCATGCATGCTGACCATTTTCTTTATTGAGCTATACATATTACATATGCATTTTTATTCATAGTTAGCTTAGAAATGTCTGCTGCTCCACTGCACTCGCATAAGCTGGTTAGTAACCCAATTTTATTAATCAGCCTTCACCATAGTTTATTACAATGCAACAGTTATCATATTCAAAATACATGAAACTGGAACTGTCCCCCCTTTTTCATTTCATAGATGAAAACACTGGATATTTTAATGATATACTGACTGCCAAACAGGAAATGTCCCTGGGAAAATAAGTACAGAACAACCATTCTGAGGAGGATGGCTAGCATAAATGCTAACAGCATTAACATTAGCTTCCTAACTAGCTTATAGAACTCTAATTTTAATTCTAGTTTACATTCTGGTGCACTTATTGGTCATGTAGTAGTACTTGGTAACTTTATCTAGACCTGGAACATTGAAGAATTAGATAAATTGTCGTGTTTCCGAAGACAGAGGAGAACACCATCGAGTACCATTAGGTCATGTTGGTGCTAATCTTAAGCACGTTCCATCAAAATCTGAACCTGCATTGCTGGATCAGTGTTCAGTAAAAAGTATAGTTTAAGTTTTTCTGGTTCCAAAGGTTCCAGTGCTTTGTGCAGTGGAAAAACATCCTGAGTGAATTTAAAGTATGGAACCTGTCAGATGATTTCATTGTCCTGCAGGCAGGGTTTGTGACCGGCTCCTTCGACCTCCGTCCTGTGCTGTTCTACGGGGGCTGCGGCTTCACCATCATGCGCTGCATGAGCTTCGCTCTGGAGAACTGTGAGAAGAAAGAGGGCAACTACAGCATCCTGGAGCTTCTCAAGTACAACTTCTACCTCCCTTTCTTCTACTTCGGACCCGTCATGACTTTTGATAAATTCTACAAACAGGTACGCAAGTGATCAGCAATTCAGTGCTCATAGTAGTAAGTCAACACACTTGGTGACTGCACTGAAAAAAGTATTTCATTGAACTGACTTGATTCAGATGTGTTCATGATTTCCATATGAATAACATACATTGTTCAGCAATAACATTAAGACCTAATTAAGAACTAATTTCTACACTAATTGTCCATTTTATCAGCTCCATTTATATAGGTGCACTTAGTTGTTCTACAGTTACAGACTGTGGTTCATCTGTTTCTCTGCGTACTTTGTTTGCCCCCTTTTACCCTGTTCTTCAGTGGTCAGGACCCCTACAGGACCACCACAGAGCAGGTATTAGTTTGGGTGGTGGATCATTTTCAGCACTGATGTGGTGGTGGCGTGTTAAACGCCGGTGTCACTGGACTTGTTCTCCTGGACTGAGAATAGTCCACCAACCAAAAATATCCAGCCAACAACATCCAGTGGGCAACATATTGTGACGACTGATGAAGGACTAGAGGATGACCAACACAAACTGTGCAGCAACAGATAAGCTGCTGTCTCTGACTTGTCTGAAGTGTCTAATAGAGTGGACAGTGAGTGGACACAGTGTTTAAAAACTCCAGCAGCACTGCTGTGTCTGATCCACTCGAACCAGTACAACGCACACTAACGCATCACCACCATGTCAGTGTCACTGCAGTGCTAAGAATGACCCACTACCCAAATAATACCTGCTCTGTGGTGGTCCTGTGGGGGTCCTGACTATTGAAGAACAGGGTTAAAGGGGGCTAACAAAACAATAGATGGACTACAGTCTGTAAATGTAGAACTACAAAGTGCTCCTATATAGTAAGTATTTTTTTTCCACCAGAGGGCGCTGTAGATTATGTATTAATCACAGTGCAATCTTCTAGAACACTGAACAACTGCATATAGCACTCCATTATAAAGAGCCTGGAAACAACAACCAGTTTAAAGTAACTGCATAATGTGCATAGTAACACATAGTTAAGTGAATGACCTCCCATAATTATTATTACTTTATTTTTACCATTTCTTTCTGGTAAGAAATGTATTTATTTTTCCGGTATTCTGTAGTTGTTTATTTTTGAAACAATATTAAATGCTATTATAATATATATATATATATATATATATATATATATATATATATATATATATATATATATATATATATATATATATATATATAATTGTGGTTTTCAAAGCCAACAAAAGGTGCCATAGAATGCATTTATTCAGTATTTTAAGTTATTCTCTGTCTACATAGAAGTTATGTGACTTTGGTTGGGGTGAAAAATGTCCAGATCCGGTTTTACACGCCCATTTACAACCCTGTGATTTGGCCCTAGAATGAAACAAGCTGTTTTTCCTTTTTTTGGTGGGCTCATGAATAATGAGTCAAAATAGACTCAGGCAGGAAAATAAAATGAACCCCCTGTGTAAATAGGCTCGGTCGTCATACTATTTAGTTACCTATGCTAGCTAGTTACTTGGAGCTTGCTAGTAGCTAATGTTACCTTTACTAGCTATTTGCTTTCAGCAACATAGTAAATTAAAGTTGTTACCTCACTATGAAACTTTAAATTTAAGATGATCTGGCTTCAACAGTCAGCTGTTGCTGTTGGGAACGTGGTGCTAATAAAGCTGAAACTGCCCCTCTGTCCAGTCTCTTCATTGTCAAACACCGGTGAAACCTGCTCGATGTTGTCCAAGGTTTGAGAAACTGTCCAGAGTGAAATGCAAACTAACAACTTTAATTTAAAGTTGTCTGGGATGCTGTTAAAGATGTGGGAGCTGAAGTTGCCGACTATTTGCCAGCTTGTTTTGCGAATTTTCCATTCCACCTTAAATGGTACCGCAGTTTACCTCGTTGCGCTGTACATTCTGGAGCTGTACATTCTGGCGCCTGGGTGTATCATTTAAGGTGGAACAGAACATCCAATTAAGAAGCTGGTGAATAGAAGGCCAACTTCAGCCTCATTTAAAGACAAAGATCAACCATTCCCACTGAGAGTTCAGTTTTTAGGGTATGAAAAGTGTCGACATCCGTTCACAGCCTGGTGCAGTGTAAAATTTCTGCAAATAGTCTGCCATTTTCGTTGTTGGTGTTCCGTTGTTGTTGTTTCCCACTGGGCTAGAACATGGGCTGGCGTAAATATTAATGAGTCAAGACTGATATGTGACAGCTTAGGATTATGGAGTCGGCCCTGTATGTTAGTTCCATGTACCAAACTCTTCTTATTCAAATATGCCAATGTAAATACAGTTTTCTATTCTATGGCACCTTTAAAACGAGGCACTAATCTTTTACTGTTGCATTTTGTCCAACTAATTCACAAACCTAAATATTGTGATACATGTAATTTATCATGGAAATGTCTTCAAGTATTGTGATATTGTATATTTTTGCCATAACACTTACCCTTAATGGTGACCCAAAAAGTAATGAAATTTACAGCAATGGAGGGGTCAATTGTACTGGGTCGAGCAGTATAATACATCTTTATTGGCCCCCTTATGTCACTACTTAATCAATTTTACACTCATGACTCACAGGGTAGCTATGATTACTTGATAATATACCTCAGCCATTGGCCTACATTAGAGCACTAACCTGGCTGAGACACAGCAATAGCGAGTAAACAAGTAAATTACATTGTTTTATAATTGAATCATGGCTGTTGTCTGCTCCCCTGCAGGCCAATAATCCTGACCTGAACAGGAAAGAGAGAGAGATGTGGAACATTTTCATCCAGGCCTTGTTGCACCTGGGGGTGATCATTATTGTGGCTGTGATCTTTCACTTCATGTACATTCTGACCATTCCCAGTGACCTGAAAGCTGCTGAAACACCTCTCAGACTGGGCTATTGGTGAGTGGATTTGTGTGGTTTTGTTTGTGCTTATTTTTCTACATGTACAGGACAAAAATGTTCTGACATTGTCTGAAAACCAGAGGTCTAAAAAGTGCTTTTTCAGTGCTCAACAAGCTTTTCTTTGGGTGGGTTTTGACTACATTGAAAAAAGTGTTGCGTTGAATTGACTTGACTAAAATGTGTATATAATTTCCATGAGTAAAATGCATTATATCAATGCAATGACTGCCTAACATAAGTAAGCAAAATTGTAATAGTTATATATTTATTTAATGTGGTAATCATGTACACATTTAAATCAATTCAGTGTGTCAGTTTTTCCGTCTAGGCAAAATTATCTAGAGATTTTTGTAGATTATGTATTAACCACAGTGCAGTCTTCTAAAGTAACTGCATAAAATGCATAGTAAAAGTTCTAAAAAGTGCTTTTTACAAAAGCTATTATTACATTTGTATATGTACAAATATAATACATATGGAACACACATTCATTTATTTATTTACTTGTTTATCTATTTATTTATTTAATGGGTTTTTTATACATATAGTCACTTATATTTAATGCTAACTTTACAGGAGAAGAAAAAAGACATTCTTAACTTGTAATGGAAATTAATGTAACAAGATTTTTATCTGAGTAATTTTGTACCTTTTCTTTTGGTCTGTTTCATCATGAAATAACACAATGTAAAGGCTAACTGGAGCTGTCAAATTACGCTAAAAAGTAAAAACCTAAATAATGGAGATACAAGGTTTTTGCACCACATGATTATATATTTATAACACATAATGGTCACAAACCAATACAATATGTGCATGTGTTCCATAATGGTATGTGCAATGTTTTAACAATCATCTTTAACCCCTTTAAATGGCAGGCTTATTTTTCAGTTATTCATCTTAACATTTAAGACTATTAAATTACAGCTATTTGTAAGTTCTGTAGTTATAAGAGTTATAAAAGTGAGGGATTGAAGTGTTGGCCTGTGTACAGACGCTTCGAGTTTAAGGGGTTAATGTAAGCATCTATCTAAATGGCATTGCTTCCTCTTATCTCTCCCACCAGCTGGTTTGGCCTATTTGAATCTGGTGTACGACTGGGTAAAAGCAGCCGTGCTGTTTGGGGTGATAAACACAATTTCTCGTCTGGACCACCTGGATCCCCCTAAACCTCCAAAATGCATCACAATGCTTTATGTCTTCTCTGAGACGTGAGTACACACTTCGTTATCTTTCTTGATTCATTTAATGCATTTGTTTAACGCGTTGTACATTCAAATGATGCAATGAACCGTGTCTTTGTGCTCTTCCTAAAGACATTTTGACAGAGGAATCAATGACTGGCTCTGCAAGTAAGTTCCATCAAGTGTTTTTTCTATCTGAAACACTGAATTGTGCAGGCCTGCAACATGCATGATGAATATTGATATTTCTGAAGGATGTCTTTATGTGCTGTATGTGATGTTTGAATAACTGTTGTGACCAGTGTGTCCAATGTGCAAAACTGTCAGTCAGGTGTGTGGTAACTTTGCAGGTACGTGTATAACTACCTTGGTGGGAAACATGAGCATGTATTGGACGAGCTGATTGCCTCTCTTTGCACTTTCGGAATCACTGCCCTGTGGCTGGGACCTGGCTGGGTGGTTCTTATATGGGCCTTCCTGAACTGTTTTGGGCTGAACTTTGAGCTGTGGACAGCCAAGTTTTTCAAGATGGAGCCTTTTGTTTCAATTGAGGTAAGAGAGCAGAAGAGCTGCAATAAGAAAAGCCTAAACAGTCAGGTAGGATGGTGACCTTGAACGCAGTGACATGACCCACCTAGTATGTAATGCAGGAGTTTCCTTTAAATTTGGGACAGTGAAAAGATGTGTTATATAAAATCCAATGAAAAATTACCAGTATCTTTACATTTTTCTATATAATAGTAATATGTCCCATAATATATATATATATATATATATATATATATATATATATATATATGTAGTGCATGAAAAGACAAGCTGATTTACGCCCTCTCATCGCTATTGTAACCTCTGAATGCATTAGATGCATCTCACAAGATCTGTGTTCTTTCCACCTCTAGATGGCGATGTCTGAATCTATGTCCCGTAGGATTAGAGCTGTGTTCAACACCTTCAACTTCTGGTGTATTGTCCTCTACAACATCCTGGCCCTCAACAGTCTTGACTTTGCTAAACTTGTCGCCAAAAGACTGCTGCTGAAAGGTAAAGAGTGGAGTCAGTTTTACAAAATCAGTGCACTACTTTACTAGAGATATCTTGAAATTAAGTGAATAGGGCTATTCCTGAACATTTGGGGGCCCTAAACAACTTGCCCATCATTAAAGGAGGGAATGCAGTGATTAGGAAATTCTGACTTAAACTGACCAAAACAGTCTAAAATATTTGATGTTGTAATTTATGGACTATTTTTTTTGGTAGATGTATGCTCGTTCCAAATGTGATGCCACATTTCCCAGAAACTTGGGACATGAACATGTGTACCACAATGTTACATCACCTTTCCTTTTAACTACAATAATTAATAAACAATAAACAACAGTAATCATTTGGGTACTGAAGATAAAAACTAATCCAGTTTTGAAATATTACTTTTTTGCCATCCTTGCATTATACAAGTTTTCAACTGTGCAACTGTTCAGGGCCTTTTTGTCATATTATGCACTTCGTAATGTGCCACATGTTTTCAATAGGAGACAGGTTCTGGACTGCGGGCAGGCCCATCTAGCATCTGCACTCATGCAGCCTTTATGCAGCCATGCTGTTGTAACACATTCAGAATGTTTCTGGTGATGTCATGATGAAAAGCATGAAAAAACACATCAGCTAGAAATGAGCATATGTTGCTCCAAAATGTGTATATCATTCAGCGCTAATGGTGCCTTCACAGATGTGCAAGTTACCCAGGGCAAGGGCAGTAAAACACCCCAATACCTTGACAGATCCTGACTTTTGAACTTTACACTGGTAACAATCTGGATGTTCCTTTTCATCTTTGGATTTACAAATCACTACTTTGCTATATTTGCATTTAACATAACTGTTCCAACTTTTTTGGCATTGATGTTTGTAAACAAAAGAAAAAAAATTACATTGCAATTACATTGTCCCCTAAGTGACTCCTTATACAACTTATAGCAAGAAACAGCCCTGGATATCACATATTGCACTACAGTCCTGGGCAAAAAACATGGGCCAATATAATATTTTTTATTAATGGGTTTGGCCTGGTTAGAGTACAGTACCCTATAGAGAATATATGGTCTCATATTAAACACAAACTAGCTGGGCAATGTTTTTCAACTGTCTGAAGCCAATGCTAAGTGGAAAAACACTGAATTTTGGTCAGCAAATTTACTCACAAACCTTCAACATTTAAGGAAATCAAAGGGAAATGCCCTCGCATATAAAGTTACTTTATTAATTTGTCTCATGATTTGTTGTTAAGACCATTAAAAGCTTAATGTTTTGCCTTTTGGGCTTGGCCCATTTTTTTTGACCAGGAGTATATCACCACATAATCTGATTTGCCTCTAATACACAACACTACCCTTCTATATTCATACAGGTTTCCCTCTGTCCACTATTACTGTGATGTTTGTGACCTACTGCTTGGTGCAGATCATTAAAGAGAGAGAAAGAAGGCAGGCTCTTATTGATGACCCGGATCCAATCCCCCCTCCTGCCCCCGTCCCACCACCTAGCACCACCACTGCCTCCACCCTGGCTGCCCAAATGGATGCCTCAGCCCCTCAGCCTGTGGACCCCAATAAGGAAAAGGCAGAGTAGGGGGATATTTTTGCAGGAGATCAAACATTTTAGTCAAAGTTTACCAGAAAATGTTTTTAAAAGGAAACGTCAGTGTTTTTACAAGTACCACACGTATTTCCATCTTTTTGAGATTTTACATGATCAGTGATAATCTAAGCCTAATATATAATATACAGAAAAAAGTACAACAGTACAATTTGCACACAATTTAGACAAACCTTAACGACCATTATCACTGTAAAGCTTTCACGTATTGAATTCACTGCAATAATACAAATCATTTGAATTTTCGTTCTCTGTAAATATCCTCTTATTGTGCTTTAACACTAAGGGTGAAATAAAAGACTGAGTTTGCAGAATTTGTAATGTCATAATTTGTGATAATGCCTGAGAAGGCTACCTGTCATAAATACTGTTTAGCACAATTTTTATTATCATCTGTTTAAAATAGATATTTCTTCATTCAAAGTCTCTTTATAGTATTTTCTGTTTAAAAATGTGAACTGTAAAAACATGAAGAAAAAGACACTCCAACTCTGTATATGTTAGCATGAGCAGAGGTTGACTGAACCACCATCACTGAAGCATGCTTTGATGAAAAGGGAAATTCAACCAATTTCTTAAAATTTCTGCATAATAAAATGGTTAAGAAGTAAACAATCATCAGTCATTCAGTGTGATTTACTACAAAATGGTTTGTTTTGGAGAAACTTAGCAAGTCAGAATGATTCACAGTGGTGGTGAAAGGAACCAAACGTCTAAAAGGGTTTAATGTCTCTAAAAGCTCCTTTACAGAAAGTTCTAAAGTGAAATGGGTATGAATACACTGCCACTGATTTCACAATAAAGTTTTGGCCTAAAACATATTTTTCATTCATGGCAGAGATTCTGGCTATTGTGAGGCAAAATATTTCCCTTTTTCAGATTTACCACTATTTTACCACTGTCAACATCTAAAAACTGAGAAGATACATATAGGTTTACTGGTCATTTTGGACAGTAAATAAAATGACTATTTTTGCATTGTAGACATTGTGACCCCTGGTTCCCATCACCACTACTGTAAAGAAATCCAAGTCAATAAGTTTCTCTACAGGGAACCATTTCACATCAAACCACTCTGAATCATATCTCAACGATTTAATTAGGTTGAAAGAGAGATTCCTCTTTAAGAGAAAAGCAGCCATCTGTCTGTTGTCATTTCTTGTTCTTGGAGCTGATGGTGTCTAACATTCTCTGCTTCTGTCACACTGCAGCTAAATTAAACTTAAAGACTAGATAAATCTGAGTGATTCATGTTGATGATTCTTCTTGTTCTGCTCTCTGCTGTGGAGTATTTCTGTAGACTTACATAAGCACACAGCCTCTCAGTTCATGCTCAACAGCTGCTCTGGGGAAAACGTTTCATATTCTTTTATTATTTTGACCTGGGAGCAAGACTTTCATTTCTTATGTTGTATTCTATTATTTTAGGTTTTATTTTCATGTAAACCAACTAAAGTCTGTAATTTAAAAATATAGTTGATAAACTAGATGATCTGTTTAAAATCTATTTTCTTATAATTTGAGTGAAAAAAGTTTGGAACCAATTGTCATCTAATAATTTTTAGTTATTTAATAACAATAATGTTGGATAATAGTAACTTTCACAGTATAGATTTCAATATTACAGAATAGACACACACCAAATGGTAGTTGTATGTTTACTGACTATCAAATATAAAACAAAGTATTTCAGAAACAAGACATTATTAAATGATAAATAATATATGAAATATGAGGTTTCATTAGGACATCATTTTTGATGTTATTCAGATTTGTCTGTCTTAGAATCACATCTAAAATGTCTTATTTATTTATTTATTTTTATTTATAGTTTCCTAGATTTCTACGTCCATACTGGAATCATGAATTGGCAACCAGTAGTTACATAGTTTTACATTAAAGGTGGGTTTCCTAAAGTGACTCTCAGCTTCAGCAGTGGGCGGCTCCCTTAAGACCACTCATGTCACCTAAAGGTCCTACGTCCTTATGACTCAGGGGAAGAAGCTGCAGCCTCATGGAGGGGGCAGTGTGTCAGCTGTTGCATTGGCCTGGGGTAGGATTTCATATGTACCAGCAAGGGCCTAACCTATAAATAGCCTAACCAGTTGGAGTTCAGCTGAAGTGTTGGGACAGCTGAGGAAGTCAGCTAATCCATTGAGTAGGGCTGAATGCGCCCAGCCTTGGACACTGGCAGAGGCATAGTAAGAGTAAGGGGAAGCCCAAAGGACTGTCCAGAACCTTCAGTAAGACAGTCCAAGACTTCAAGGAGCAAATATGGCGGTGCCTATAGATCCCATGGAGGAGCCTCGGATGTACCAGCAGACGCTGCTGCAGGACGGCCTCTACGACCTGCTGGAGAACGACACCATGGTGGATTGCGTACTGAAGATTAAAGACAAGGAGTTCCCCTGCCACAGACTGGTGCTGGCTGCCTGCAGCTCCTACTTCCGGGCTTTCTTCCAGTCCGGAGTGGAGGAGAGCAAGCAGAGAGAAATCGTACTGGAAGACGTTGAACCTGGGGTGATGGGCATGATCCTCAAGTACCTCTACACTTCCAGCATCAATGTGACTGAGCAGAACGTGCAAGACATCTTTGCCCTTGCAAACATGCTCCAGATTCCATCCATTTTCACTGTCTGTGTCTCCTTCTTGCAGAAGCGCCTGAGCTTGAGCAACTGTCTGGCCATCTTCCGACTGGGCCTGATGCTTGATTGCCCAAGGCTGGCCGTATCTGCCAGGAACTTCGCTTGTGAACGCTTCCAGCTGATCTGCAAAGATGAAGAGTTTCTTCAGCTCAATCCCAATGAGCTGGCAGCCATCATGGCTTCAGACTTGCTCAACGTGGAGACAGAGCAGGCCGTGTTCGAGGCCCTGGTCAAGTGGGTGGCCCACGACCGGGACAAAAGGCCGGACGAGCTTCCGGGTCTGCTGGACTGCGTGCGCTTCCGGCTACTCCCTCAGGACTACTTCTCTCAGAAGGTAGAGAAAAACGAGTGGCTACGGTCTAACCCAGAGATCGTCAAGAAGCTGCAGCTAGTCAAAGACGCCCATGCCGGGAAGCTTCCGGAAGTCAAGAAGACCAAGAGCAAGAAAAGTGAGAAGAAGGAAGATGATGAGGGGAAGAAAGATGGAGAAGAAGACGAGGAAGAAGAGCAGGAAGAACAGCTTCCTGGAATCCTGAATGATAACTTGAGGTTTGGTATGTTCCTCAGAGACTTAATATTCATGGTAAGTGACACTGGGTCCGTGGTTTATGACCCTGCAGGAAACGACTGTTATGTGGCGTCGCTGTCGACCCAGGTTCCAAAAAATCACTGCAGCCTGGTTACCAAGGAGAACCAAATCTTTGTGGCTGGAGGACTTTTCTTTAACGAACACAGCAAGGAGGAACAACTGAGCTCATACTTTCTGCAGGTACAGAACTCAATACCTTTTAGGTTAATCCTCAGTCAGATCAATTCGAAGTACTGAAAGAAACATTTGAAGGGGAATCTGACTGATTTGACAAAGCGTATGCGTAATTTGATCACTGAGATGTAAACAAAGAGATTCAAAGTGTTTTGATGTGAATTGTAGAGAAATATACTTAGATTTCTTTACAGTGGTGGTGATAGGAACTGGGGTCACAATGTCTACAACACAAATATAGTGTTCTAATATATAATGTTGATAATTGTGAAATAGTGAAAAAATCGATGAACACGTCTGGTTCCTGTCACAACCACTGTGAACAATTGAGATTTGGTACGTTTCTCTTGAACAGAGCATTTCACACCAAACCACGCTAAATTACTTTGTTTATATATGAATCATTTGATTTTGCAGAATCTTTGAAAAATCTGCATAATTCTCTTTTATGTTTACCTAATTAGAGTCTGTCTATTGGTTGTTTCATTCATTTTAAAACATGCTTTGCCTTGGTATCGAATCAGAATTGTGAATATTCACATATTATACATATATCTGATGATGTAGACTTACCCATCACCTTCTGACCCCTAACAGTTTGACCCTGCGACTTCAGATTGGCTGGGCATGCCCCCTATGCCCTCCCCACGCTTTCTGTTTGGCATGGGTGAAGCAGAGAACTCCATCTTTGTAATTGGTGGGAAAGAGATGAAGGAAGGAGAGCGCACTTTGGATTCGGTCCTGGTTTATGACAGACAGTGAGTACCACAATTTCTAATCCTGAATGAAGATTCTGAAACAGAGCCATGAAGTGGAACAACATACAGTACTGTGCAAAAGTCAGAGACCACCCTCAGTTTTTCAAAGAGACCTGCAGGGTTATTCTTTCATACCTTCAAAGTTCAGTCTTAGAAGTTGGTTGCATTTTCTGCTTCTCATCATTTCTCCTATCTTTCAAAGATGAAAGCTATAAGTACTGTTTGTCTGATGGGGGCGGTTTTGGTGGTCTATGAGGTTTTGCATGGTTGTTATGAGTTCCATTTTCTCTGTAGCTTTTTAACTCCAGTTTTAAAACTTCTGTTTTTTTTACTTGTCCTCTTCCTTATGCAAGTGGATTATCTTATATCTTCTCAGAAATCTGAAAAATGAAAAAACTGAGGGCCATTTCAGCTGAAAATGAAATAAATGAAAAGTGGTCTTTTTCTGCAGTATGTACGAAACATGCATCTCCAAGCAATAAACCACATTCTTTTATTTCAATGTAGATTTTTTAAATGGGCAGAGTCGGTTCCGCTCCCCTACCCAGTATACGGCCACGGAACAGTGTCTCACAATGGAGTTGTGTATGTAATAGGAGGAAAAGGGGACAGCAAGTAAGTTCTAGCATTGAAACAGTGTCCATTACTGTTCCCCATTTCATGATGCTACAACTTGGTTAATTCTGACACAAGTCTTGCTGTCTTGCTTGTAGACAGTGTTTGAAGAGAATGTGCGCCTATGACATGAAGAAAGGTGAATGGAAGGATCTGGCTCCGATGAAGATGGCACGCTCACTATTTGGCATAACTGTTCACAAGGACAAGATCTACGTGGCTGCTGGTGTAACAGAGAGCGGCCTTACCGGAAGCATGGAAGTCTATGACATTGCAACAAACAAGTCAGTACAACATGCCTGCAGTCTGCACAAAACATATTATTTTATAAATAATAGGGCTGTTACTACTGAATATATTAGTAATTGAGTAACCTACTGATTATTTTGGTGATTAATCAAGATTATTCAAGGCCAAACAGTAAAAATATTTAAAAAACTTCAGGTAACACTTCAGTACAGCAGGAATTATGATGCTCTTATTATAACCACCCAGTAACTGGCTGCTTATTACTTAATTAAAGGGCCTGTAACATGGAAAAAAATTTTTTTTTGAAAAGTTTGATGTAGAACATAAACAAGGTTTCAAAATGTACTGTTCACTCCATACAGCCCATTAATCGAAACTAAGCCGTAAAAACAGCCTGTTTTGAACATTTTGCAATGTTGCAAAAACCAGTGTATTTACCTTTACACAACTATTCAGCCTACAGCAGTTTAGCCCCACTCACTCATACTGAAGTTATAAGGAGCATTTCAGCCTGGACATCTTTTGAATGAGGCTCAATATAGGACAGCTAACCTGAACTGGGGTCATTTACATATATCAGTCTTATACAGTAATACACAGTAATAAAAATAGCCTGTTTAATTCTCACAGATAAAGAGAGGTCACATAAAAATGAATTACGATTTTGGTACTTAAAATCACACAAATGTGATAAATGGACCTCAAGGGAAATAATAAAATACAAGTAAATGTTGGATATAACTAGGGTGAATAAGGCATTTTCCTTATTATACTTAATCATTTTGTGCACAACTCTTACCTGAGGACTAGATCTATATAGAATGTGCTAATTAATCAACTCTGTAATGAAAATGCCCTTTTAGTAAGCCTTAACAAGCTAGTAGCTAATAATTAACTGGCTGCTTATTACTATGATTGTTATGATTACTTTATCAAGCAATATCTAGAGTGAATGAACAGCTTCCTGGGTGTAAATGTTAACTAGAAACCTAAGGCTTCACTTGTGAATGGAGGTCAGTTTTTATTTAGAAGTAATAGGTAATTTACTATTGAGGTATTGGTAAGAATCAAAAGGAAACACCAAACTTGTGAAGAAAAAACTATTCTAATTGGACGGAGTGTAACTATTTAGGCATTTTTATAACAGCGTTCATTAATAAGTTTATGCCATATAGACCTAATATTCTGGTAATTGTTGTGCACAAGATTATGATGAATAATACACAATTATACCAGCTAATTAGAAGTTATTGGCTTGATAAGTAGGTTATCAGTTTTTGGCATGCTTTCTAATAGACACCTAAAATGTTGCACAAAACATTATGATGTATAATACACAAATAAAAATGCTCTGGAAAAAGCTTAATTCCCTTTAGTTCCTGCTTAATAAGCTAAAAAAATTGGAAATATTTAAGGGAGAACAGGAGGAGAATTTAAAATATGTATTATCATCTTGCAAACTGCCAACCAGTCACTGGCAGTTCATTCAGAAGGTAAATTCTAATCAGCTAATCATAACAAATACTGTGTTTCATTGATCTGCCAAATGTGGCCTAGCTTGTCTGACTGTGTGCTTTTGTTCTAGGTGGTCTGATTTTGTGGAATTCCCTCAGGAGAGAAGCTCCCTCAGTTTGATCACAGTGGGAAATGGCATCTATGCTGTGGGAGGCTTTGCAATGATTCCTAGTGAAGACGAAGAGGAGCTCACACCCAGAGAGATGACTGATGTATGGAGGTAAGACACCAGGTCACGTCACCAGAAGAAATGTCCACAAGATAAAGGGTAAAATGCTAGTGGAATGGCTTAATTACTCCATTGACAAGAGCGGATGTTAATGGTTGTATGTATTTTCATGATCCGCTGTGGAGGAGGAGATAAATTAGGGTTGGACCACTATATCATTTGGCCAGTGTAATAGGCCGATACTGAAGCTGTACTTGAGGATTTGGAGACCTCTCTGGTGGAAATGTGTAATTGCATGCAATGTGCAGAAAAAACATTTTATAACATGGGTGCTTTGGAGCCCTTCCCCAAGCAGATGAATCTGATAATTGCAAGTACACAGAAAACGTACTCAAAGAGAATTCAGTCAAAACTTGGTAAAGGACGCATCTTTCGAGGATGTAAGTGAATTATCTACTATTGTCATGATATCTTCATCAGTATAATGTTGATTTTGCATCTGAGACCTAAACATTGAGCTGGATCTTCTTTTTGAGGTGTGTGTGACATTAATACATAAAGATGTGTGACGTTGTCCAAAAAACTCTCAAGAAATCAGACGCCTCTGATTATTTTGGGTTTTACAGTCTGACTCACAGCAGCGCGCACACACACACACACACACACACCAGATTTTAGCCTGTTTCTTAGCTCAGCAATGCTACTTTTTTCAATTTTAACCCCAAAAACTTACATAGTGCAGCTTTGAAGTATTTATATGGATCTGGGAAAATTCAGCTGACATTGTTTTGAAGATATGCTTGTATTATTTTACTATGAACATAGTTCATTTCTATAGATTTCATTGCATTAGTAGTTTAACTTATACTACTCTCAAACACAAAACACCATCATGGCTAAAATGACAAAAACAAATAAAATGCACCCAAGCCTATCATTTAGCATTAGGATAACATACTATAACACAAAAACCTAGATTGCTTATGTTATTTAAAACTTTCTGCCACAACACTGACAACTGACAATCATGTTAGTTGGTAAAGTACAGTTTACTGACTGATGCAAAGCAGTTTAAATGAGCATTCTGGCCTAAAACTAGCATTTAATAAGTTATTAGTTGTGTTATGTAATATTGTGTGGTTTTGTCATTCAGCATTCTCTCACTACAATACCCAGCATGCATCATGCAGTTATTGTGAATTTCCCCCATGTTGCTCAAGAATTGCAATGATGCACCACTGATGTAGAGGCAAGTAAATACAGATGTGTGATTCAGCTTCCTAGCAGCACCATTAGATATCCGCCTTGCATTAGCCAGCTAGTTCTCCCATCATCAGAAGGGGGTTTCCTGGTCTTTAAAACTGAACAGTCTCACTCACAAGCCTGTTGTGGCTATAGAAGGTATGTCTACAACAGCTATAGCGATGGTTATATTCTTTCATTTTGGCCGGAGTGCCCCTTTAAATAAAAGTACGGGAGTGTTTTTGGCCATAAAAATTACATTGGCCGATATTATCAGTTATCAGAATTTTCATATCTTTGGACCCTACAATCTTAAAAAAGATGTTTTTTAATGGTTCTTTAGTAAAGATTAAGGTTCTATATAGAACACTCAAAAGAACTATTTACATTCTATATAGAACACTCAAAAAACAATTTGCATGGTGAAACTGTTCTTCATATTGTAATTGTAATATGTCAAGCTTGTAACAACAGAAAAACCTTTTTTGGTGCTTATACAGAACCCTTTTCAAAAAAGGGTTCTATAAAGAATCATATAAAACACATTCTCCATCAGTCTGAAAGACCTTTTCATGATGGAAAGAACCATTTAATCATTCAAAGGGTTCTTTGAGTGTACATGGTTCTCTATGAAACAACTTTCTATACTAAAGAGCCCTTGAAGAACCATCTTTTTTTTTAAAGTGTGCTGTAAACTGAAAAAAAAAAAACCCTATGTTTCTCCACAGGTATGATGAAGCGGAGAGGAAGTGGAACGGCATTCTGAGAGAAATTCGCTACGCATCCGGCGCAACAGTTCTGGGCGTCCGTCTCAACACTCTGAGACTTACTAAAATGTGAGAAAAAACAGTGCTGAGACCAGCAAAGCACTCTGCTGAAACCAGCACTAAGAAACCAAACCAACTTTTTACATTTTTTCATCGATGTTTGCTGTTTCTAATTCAGTGAATGGTCCATGCTTCACAAATGCACTCTTTTGTAGCAACTGTTGATAGATTTGACAAGCTTTAAAGAAGTCTGGCAAAAATCCTGTTCAATGAGAAACAAGTTTTTAGATTTAGGCCCAAATCCCTTTTCACCCATCGCCCCTACCACTTAGACCTTAGTTCTCTGTTTTGGGCGTTCACACCTACGGGTAGGGTGTCCTGATCTTTGTTGAGATAGATGAGTAGGGTGAAGTGTTAGAGCTACATGTCCCTCCAAACGGAGGTTTTTCGGAGGCACACCCCAAACAGAGTGTTACGAGGAAAAAAGAAAATCCTCTTCTTCATAACAAGCATAAGAAATCGCTAATAGTGTGCTAATGTCTCAGTATTCCACCCATTCCACCTTAAATAGTCCAGCAGTTCTGACACCTGAAGCACCAGAACGTAACTGCTGCTCCATTTAAGGTGGAACAAAAAAACAAAAAAAGATGCTGGCGAATTCAGCTTCATATCACTGAAGAATTAGGGGTGGGCGATAATCGTAATTATCGCATCCCCCCACTTTGAAGGCATATGATGCCCTAAATTTAACTGAAGCCCAGCAGTGAGGTTGCTGAACTTTACCCTCCTCTGCTGTCACTGCAGACTGGCAGGGTCGCCTACAGAACACCACTAGTAGCCTGTTAATGAAGCAATGTTCTTCTTTATTTGAGGGTCCCATTTCATAGGGAAAGATTTCAACCACTACCCCTTGTAACTTGGTTCCAAGGGGCAAGGTGACACTCGAAAACAAGAGGTGGGAGTAAAAATAAGAAATGGGATTGGGCCTTAGAGTCTGCATATTTAAGAACTCAATGTAAAACTTATTTTGTATGTGTGGATAGATCAAATATAGTTTTGTAATCAAGCTAACATTAGCATGGCGGCAAATTCATGTTCTTTCCATTCTGCCATTCTACAACAGGGTAGTCCAGCTCTGTAGTTTAGCATTTTAAACTGAGCATTAGCGACTCTAAACAGACATTGCAGGGGCCATAGCAGCAGTTGCTATAAAAGAACAAGTGTGTGGGTGGAGCATGAACAGTGCAATTAATTTCACACTCATTCCATGTAATATGAAATGCAGACATGCCATTGCATGAAAAAACTCAATTTCAAAATGTGATTTTAACTGCGTTTCACATGTACGTAGCCTAAATTGTTTTGTGAAATTCCAGCTTAAAGGGCCAATATCATGGAAAAGACATATTTGATGTATTATATAAATATTGTCAAAGTTTCAAAACGTACCATTCACTATCCAGTGCATATACAGAAAAGTTGTTTTTGTGATGTCTTGAAAAGCAATGCATTTACATATATTCACCCATTCAGCTACAGCAGTTTAGCCCCGCCCATTCATGCTGAAGTTATAAAGACTGTTTCAGCTTGGATTCCTTTTTGAATGAGGCACAATACAGAGCAACAGCCTGTTTAATTTTAAGTGATAGAGGTTGGACGTGTAAATGGTCATGTAAAATGAATTTTGGTAAATAAATCTACATAAATCTAAATAAATGTCACAAGTGGACCTTGGGGATGAAAAGTCAATAAATAAAATGTAGGATATGGGCCTTTATGTTTCTCTATATTTCTGTGAATGTGTTATTACCATTTTATTAGTGAGCAGTCATTGGTGTAATGTGCAGTGAAGGTGAACAGTTTCCTCCATACATAGATATACAAGCACAAATGTAATAAAAAAACAAGCACAGTGAGGTTTGGGATAATGTTTAATTTAGTTTACTATTGAAATGAACTTTTTTATTTTGTTCTGTTACAGACAGTAAACACTAACTTATACGATAAATGACATAAGATACAGTCTAATGTTATTAGCACCTCTAGACACTAGCGTCTTTGTATTGTTTTAGTACTGTGTTAACAAAACCGACGTGACTACTGCATACATGTGTTCTTCGTACACAAGGGTTGACTAAGACGTTGGGTTTACATAGTAAAAGTTTAGGAAATAATGCAGGAACAGTCACACTCCAGAATGCTTTAATACATACGAAGGAAGAACAAGTTATTAGATATTAAATGTTTTAAAAAAAAAAAGTGATTCCATCTTTGATTTGGTTGTAACACGTTCCACGGTAACTGCATGGTCAGTTCTCCTTCACTAGGACACTGAAGATAAGATGGATTACCTTTTATCTTTTATGTGCAAATCCTTTAGCACTTCTCTTTCACTCTTTAATTCACTAGAAGAACAAAAAAAACGATAAACTATTTTTCTTTTGTTAGACATATAACTCTTTTTAAAGTAGCTCTGTCGCCATATCTAGGGTTATGTAAATGTTTTTTCTGTGAGGTTATAGCTTGTGAAAAAACAAAAAGAACTCAAAAAGGCCACAAAATGCTAATTCTACACGACTAGCAGCAAACGAGTAGTAAAACAGAGGGAGAACACAGACCACTTCACAATCCCATGAACACATTCGCTTACAAATACACAATCAAAACAGTGTATTTCCCAGCCATTTAGCATTTAGCATTAGATAATTAAAGTGAAAAATAAAAGGTAAAATAATCAGTAATACACTATGATTTGGCCACTTGATTTTTCAAGAAAAAAGGAAAAAAAAAATACAAATATTTAAATGGACTGATCTAAATTCTTCATTTTCTTAATAATTTAATTCTTAATTAATATGCTAGACCTTGTTTCAAAACTGAACCACAGCATCACATAAAGTGCGTACAAAAATGAAAAGCTTTGCTAAGTCACCTTTTAAATTTAAGACCATTACATGAAGGTGCATTTTTAACAAAAAAGGTTTAGTTTTGGGCCTGTGCAATCGTAACACAATCAATACCCTCTACACGGTTTACTCAAACAAAAATGTAATATGTTTAAAATATATTATGATATATTTAGTGCAGAATTTGGAATATATCGACAATATATTGCAAGATATTCACATTTTCATATGCTGTTAGCAACTATGGCTGTTCTTCCACTGCACATGCAAAAACAACTGACCCAAATGGGAACCAAACTTACAGTTCTAGTTCTTTCCATCTGTTTGAGACAGCTGAAACCATCACAATAACCACATTTTACAATTTAGCTGTCTTTCTGGTCATTTTATGACACTGTAAAGCATCTAATTTGGCTAATAGCTCCTTTGCTTGCTAGCTAGCATAACTAGCTTACACAGAATCATGCATAAAGCTTCAATTTTTGAAAAGATGTGAAGATGTGAGCAAAAAAACATACATCCTGCGGAGGCTAGAATAAATGGTAATAGCGCTAGCTTCCTGATTTAGCTTAGCAAACTTAGAAAGTAGTAATTCTAAAAAAATGTCAATCCACACATCAAGCATACCAATTTAATTTACATTCTGGTGCACTTATTGGTGATGTAGTAGTGCTTAGTGACTTTTTCCTCACCCGGAAGAGTAAAGAATTCACTAAATATGTGTTAGCTTCAGCTGTTACCCAAGACAGAGGACAAACCTTCAAGGTCCTGTTGGTGCCAATATTTATCAGGTACCAAAAAAATGTAAAATTACAACCTTCAGTTTTGGACCTGTGACCAACGGAGAGCACAGTTCCAGTTTTCTGTGCAGTGGAAAAAAACCAGTGTTACTTTTCGAAGAACAGTATTGAACCCACATGCTACATTTCTTTCCATTTCAGTTTGTTTCTTCACAATTCCATTCTTTCAAAAATACATATCACAATATAATACCAATACTGTTTAACCTACAGATGCTGGAGAATAAGGTGCAATACGAAAAGTGATACAATGAAAAATGTACAAAAACAAAAGGACAAAAAGATGTGGCAGAAGTTCAGACGTTCAGTTTCGGTCTAGCATTTAAAAGGCTTACAAATTTATCTGGCACAAGACATTATTGCAAGAAATATTCTCCCCAATTACATTTACCCATACTAAAAAAAACATGTAAAATCAAACCTTTTTCACTTTTTGTCCTCCTCCCAGTCCTTAACCAAAGTGCACACATCAGTAGCATCACTTTCCGATTATCAAGCCACTGTGATTCGCATTAACGCTTTAGCACATTCACTATCATGGCGGCTCCATTCCTGTTAACACTTAAGGCATGTTAGTTACAGCACCACTTCAGTCTACACAACAGAACCTCCGCAACCTCTCCTGTATTCAAGATTTGCCAAGGTTATAGTAACGAAACAGCACAATGTGTAAGACTGGATGCTGGCGTTTGTGGCGTCTTCATTGCTGGATAACAGTAATCGGCAACCAAGTAGTCTATTTTTATTACTCTAGGGCTATTTGCATTAAAATTGGGTTTAAAAAGGAGGCAATCATCAAGAGCCATCTGAACAGTAATGGGGTGGGCGATATGACAATATGGTATTATCATATGATGCTAAAAAACAATGGCAAATTTAGTCTGGGATATGGAGTAAGAGTTTTTGTAATCCAATTTGAGATTATTTGGATCATGTAAAGCACAAAATGCAACCAACTTCTAAGACTGAACTTTGGAGGAGTGGAAAAACATCCCTACAGACTTCTTTGGAAAACAAAATGAGCCTCCCAAAAATGGAAGAATGGAAGATGTAATAAAGGCAAAGTGTGGACACACTAAATATTGAACAAACTGAGGTTAAATTTAGATGTTGAGGCTTTTTTTTGCACTTTTTTGACTGTTTGGACTGAAATTTAAATAAACCAAAGGGTGTTCTTGGAATTATATATCACTCTTTTTTTAATTATAGTGTGATAATATATAGTATCATGATATATACTGTATATTGTGAAGTATTACAATATTACAACTCTGCCATATCACCCAGCCCTACTTACAGCACCACTAACAGAGTGGTCCTCACAGCGCCTGTGTCCTCCAAAACTTTTGTCCCAACCAATCACTAACTTCACGTACTTCAGCTGATTAAAATTTGGCTGCTGATTGGTTGAGCCACTGGCAGGGACAAAAGCTTGGACCTACAGAAGCCTTTCACAGATAATGTTATGAAACCACTGATATATAGTTCAAGCTAAATGAATCTAATTAATGCCAAAACATACACCGTGATTACATTCACATACATATTGTCACTCTTGGCAAGCAATTCCAAATCAATCAAAGTCAAAATGACTGAGCTGCTGCTAGTAGAACTTGAAATTACAGCCAGTACAGCATACTGACCCCACACAACCCCGTATAAAGCCACAATGTGGATCCAAAAGTTTGTATTCGCTTCAGTTCTTTTTCCATTGATTGTTGAAGATACAGAATATACTCGTTAGGGCTGCATGATATATTGTTTGTTACCTGTGTGCTATGAGCATCCAGACCAACCACATTATTGATTTACCAATGAATTTTAAATAATTTTCAAGGCATATCACAATATGCAGCAACATATTCACAATACTAGCATTTTGTCCATATGTTTATAAAGCTTTACCCTCACTATATAAACCGTATGTCACTGATTGTTGATGCTGCTACTTTGTTGCTCTAAAATCCACAATTGTGGCTTTGAAAGATTAAAAAATCTGTAAAATCCATTTTCTATCAACTAATAATTCATACAGTCGTTTGCAGAACTTTGAACACCCCCAGTCAAATGAGAAAATGAACAAAACATGATGTAACCGGGGCGCCCAAAGTTTCGCAAACAACTGTATCATCTCACAAATGTCACCATTTGTGCATATAAGTGGGCAAAGTGAGCGACTATAAAATTTAAGGTGCTTAACGTATTTTTTTCTCTTTTTCTTTTAAAGAAAAGAAACATTTTAGAGCTTATCACATAAACAAAAGCTTATCTACAACTTCCAAAGTCTTTCAATAGTGCTGACTGACCCCTCCACCGCGCGTCACCACATTCATCTGACTCTCAGTACAATGTAAACAAGAAAGAAAAAACAACAAAAAACGGCCTATTCGGTAAATGACATGGAGTACACGACATATTTACAGACTATAGATACTGTACTGTATATCTTAATGTGGGCTATATAGTTTGTAATACCTGTTATTAGGACTATATATACTGTGTTTAAGGTTAAAGTTTTCTCTTTATGTGTTATATATCCTCTCTAAAGCTCAGTAAGGAAATCTATAATTTCTATAAACTTTCTGAAATCTCTTTTCTCTTATCAGACCTTTCATGGCTTCTCCACAGAGATTCTTTAAAGGTCCACTAATTGATAGCTGTAATATTCACTACACTTGTCCTCTCTTTTTACTCTTATGAAGCTTCAAGAAGGCTCTTTCCACATAACTGATATCTATGAGGAGGTAGATGAAGAGTTTGATGAGTTAAGTAAGTTCTGGAGAACTAGATCCTGCCCTGGTACTGTAAAAATGACAAACTAGAGGTTTTAGTGAGTATGTGGGTTCATATTTTGATGGTTGGCAGCCAAACGGAGTTTTTTGGGCCCACTGGTTTAGTTGTTATGCAGTACTATGAAAAAGTCAGAAGAAACCACCCGTTTATTTAATTTCCAGACAAATCAGTCATTAAGTACAAGTTATTCATTTTTTGGGGTCAGGGAAAAAAGTGGAAAACATGGAATAAATATACATATATAAATTGTATTTTTGCACACCTCCAAAGCTCAGTCTGAGAAGTTGGTTGAATTTTCTGCTTCTCATCTCTGGCTTTAAGTACGGTTTATCTGACGGTGATAGTTTTGGTGCTCATGCACTGTTTCAATACATATTTAAATAATTTTTTGGAAATCTTGTTTTGGAAAGTCATTCATTTCCACATATTTCTGCCCTTCCTTTTGCAAATGGATTATACTTCTCTCTCAGAAAAACCTCCTGAAGAATTAATAACTGGAAATCAAATTAATGAAGGGTGGTCTCTGACTTTTGCACAGTTCTGTACATCACTGATATGAAGACAGTTTGTTCATATGCTGATGATTTGGCTTTACTGACCCATAAAGATGTCCCATTAAGATAAGATAGAGGTAGAGAGCATTATTAGTATTTAACTGCCAAACGTAGGAGGTGTACAAAATAACAGAAAGACCACAAGTACTCATGCTCATTGGTCATTTTATCAAAAACACCTACCACACAGGTGCACTTTATAGGTTTACAATTACAGACTGTAGCCCACAATTCACAATTTATCAGTCCCACTTACTCTGTCCATTAATGGAAAGGTACCACCATAGGGCCAGTTGAATTTTTCCTTAAGATTACCCTTAAGATTTCCCAAGGTTAAGTGTGTTGCACAAAAATCTGTTAGGTGATACTCAAGGGTTTCTTTAAGAGAAACAATTAACAATTGAATTTCCCTTCATGCAACCAGACCCAGATATTATTTGGGTGGTGGGTCAGTCTTTATGATGTTGGGGTTTTACACATTGTGTGTCCTCACTGGGTACAGTTAGTGATTGTACAGTTAAAGACACTATCCTCTATTCCAGGGCTTCCCAACCTTTTGCAACTTGCTACTCACACAACTGACCACAAAGTTTCTGTGGCCCACAAGAAGACTATATAGACCTGATCACTTTAAATGCAAGCAAATACAACAAAATAATCAATTTAGCCAATCAAATATCAAATAAATAATAATAAACACCAAATTACCAAATAAAAAAAGGTTTTACATTGACTTGCATGGAAATGTAAACCTATCTAGCTAGTCTGTTATGTTGGACATGCATTATGCTTGACCGATCACTGAGCTCGATCTAAGGTCAATAAATGTGCAAAAAACAGATGGGCTACCTATATTGTGTTTCTGATAAAATGGTCGAAGAGTCCGAGTATTCCATGTGGTATTTCCATTATTTTGTCCACCCATGTAGCATGTGCAAAAACATTCTCACTTTGTGTGAGAAAAACTGACTAGAACTCTTTGTTTTATTACTAATGTAGGTTAAAGCAGGTGCTAATGAGTAGCTATTTTGATATGCCATTAAGATAAATGGAAACTTAGTGAACCTTTAAAGCGTACATAAATCTTAAGTACATAAGTCAAAAGTGCACAGCAGGCCATGAAGACTGTATAAACTTGAAGACTGTAAAAGAAAGATGCATATTGTGTGTAAGCATTAATTAGTTCTGAATCAAGTCAAACTATTTGTATTAGTTATTAAAGCGTTTGCAGTTATCAGTCATCTGATTAATATCTTTTCCATGAATCAGTGAAAGACCCAAATCAGTAATCCCGAATAAATAATTTTTGACATTGGACGTCTAAATAAGGCTAAAGGAATGACTACAGAAACAGCACAAGAAGCGACTTCAGAACATGTTGTACCATAAATTAAAGGTACATTACAGGACAAAACCTAATGCACAGTTTAACATTGCCTAAGTACAAATTATAATATGTCCATAGTGGAATATATTGCTATATTGCTCTGCTAAAAATTGTATATCCTTCTCAGAGCTAAAAAACAGTAAATGAAGCAAATTCCGAGGGATCTGATTTTCAGTCACATTGATGGCCGATACACAGACCAATATTTATAAAGTGCTCTTCTACTTAAAAAAGAAAATATGAATGACACATTAGTATGTTTGCTAGATTTCTACACCTTAGAGTCCCCGTAAGTGCTTTATAACTTTCCATACACGCTCTTACCCATGCACAGCACAGGTCATGAAACACACAATACACCTTTAAAACTTTAAACAGGGCAAACAAATGCCAAAGCCAGGCCTGACACAAACCATCATATCAAACCCTACCAAGAAGATATTAAAGAATACAACATAAATATATCTGTGGTCAAAAATAAGGTGCGGGAGTGATTATAAATGCGTATCTAATGGCGGCGTATGAGCACACAGGGTTTGGTTACTGCGACGTGATACATAAAGAGTCCAGGGACACAGATTTGGTAATCGCTACTACACATATCTGCAATGTTTTCAACTCACAACTCAAGTTTTTGCGGCACACTTTGATCACATGGCGCCCTCTGCTGGCTGGAGTAGAGAACACATTTGTGGATCCTCTGAGGTTTGCCTGCTTCCCGCATCTGGCAGAAAGCACAGGCCACTCTGTCTGTAAAGACATTCTTAATGCAGAGAACATTATTTGTCCAACCAAGATAAATATGCTACCGTACCGCAGTCCACAACCATGAACCTCTGGTAACCTCTTTGTAATGTACTTAGGCTGGCTTTACCTGGTGAAACTTTCAGGCAACTTAAGTCAAAAAAAAAAAAGAAACTAAATTTCACGTGTGTTGTATAATGGAAAGCCTCCATTAACTCACGTAAAAAATTGTCTAAAACTCACAACAGCTGCAACTTTGTGAACCAAGTCTCTTGAAACTGCCAAAACACTCATAACATTACATGACAACATTTCAAATGATTTCAACACATCATGGACCAGAAAATAAATTAGAGCATGGAAAAAATTAATTTCTCTTTGAATAACGCTGCTTATTTTCTGGTAACCAGTTAGCTTAACTAGTTAGCTAGTTAGCAAACAAAAGTTAATTTAGGCCTGCCACAATTACATCATCGCTTAACCATAACTATTCAAGCTGTCTGCAATTACTTTCCAACATTGTTTAGATTTCAGTCATATGTTTTCGCTTATTTTGTTATGCCCTGAAGCTACGAGGCTAATGTTGCTAACAGCTATTGCTTATATTCGATCAATGAGAATTGTACAAACCATATGCTTACAAAAACACAAAAAGATAGCGGATAATATCTGACAGACTTGCTTATGTGGTTTCTGACACTGTATGTCACACTGTTATCTGTAAAAATGGACAAAAGTAAAGATGAAATTCACTTGGCTGCTAGCACAGTTTTTAGCTACACAACTAGCGATGCACAGTGATAGCGGAATCATATCAGTATTGGCAGATATTTGCTTAAAATTGATTAGCCTCAGAGAGCTGTTTAGATTTGATCGATATTTCCAATAAATGATAATATTTACTGTATGCTGGGCTGCTATGCTAAAATATCTGTGTTTTATTAATTTTACTGCATTTGTAACCCTACAGAAATGAATGTTATATTTCTCCCCAATGCTAATCCAGTTTTATATTTTACAAAAGTTTCGGCATCGGTATCAGCAGATATAAAAAATATCGGGTATTGAAATCAGCCCATCATTCCTATATCGGTGCATCCCTATATGCAATGTACTTTGATCCACATAATTTCAATGAGCTATGTATTAGTGTTACTTGCCTGGAATCTACCTGGCCTGTAAAGAAACAGGAGAATAGTACATTATTTATTTTAATTACTTGAACCTGGTAAACTTTGGTAAAAAGACATGTACATTTAATTTATGTATGTTTTAAAGTTCAGTGTTCACTAAACTGCTGTTGTTACACTATTATAATGGCATGTAATTAACTAAAAAAGACAACAAAATTGTTAATCGCAATTATCTGTATAACAGTTAATCATTAAAATATTATGACTGTGATAGGCCTCAGGTTAATTTGATGCTTTGTTAGCCCTCTGTTTCATGATCTATGTTGCCAGCTATTAATTTTCTCCTCTTTTGACATAAAATGGCACAAAGGCTGAAAAACACATCACAGATGATTTTATGCAGCCAGACAGATATGATATCTGAAAAATGCTGGCTACTTTTCTTGCTAACTTGTGTAATAATCGAATGAGTTGCATCCAGTTGTTTTTTAATAACTTCTTGTAACTGTTAAGAAGCTCCGAAATTATGTTTCACGCAACTGGCAACCTGCAACTAGTTGCATAAAGTTTCACCACGTAAAAACAGCCTTGGGTTGAGCATGAGAACCTAACCAGCAAGATGCTAGTCCTTTAGCTCAAAAAACAAGAATATATAACAAAAATGAGAACATATTTCTTTGAATAATGAGTAGATCTTGACAATATATAAAATATCTCTATGAGAATGCTAAGTCATCGCTTGCACAGCATCAAAGGATCATACAGTGTCACACACTGTTACAAACGCCCGCTACATGTCTTAGACTTCATTCAGCAGGTCAGAAACGCCTCTCGAGGAGTTTCATCTTTCATGTGATTTGCACAGCTCGTACAAAGTCAAACGACCTACCGCTTTGGATTCAAAGTAATGAAAAGGAGCTAAAGGAACGGCTACAATTCTACTGAGCGCTGTTAGTTGTTGTTTGAGCTAACCCTTCCGGTAGAGAAGAGAGGAGGGGGAGGGGGGAGCCCCCCAATGGAGTGGAGAAGGGGCAGGGAGAGGGGGCTGGACGCTTCGGCAGGAGGGGTCACGGACCGGCCGGCCAGCGGGCCAGGAGAAGCGGGATCCAGGCCCAGAGGGTTGCCGTCGGTCTCTAAAGGGTTGCTGACCCGGAAGCACTTCTCCTTGTGGGCCTTGAGCATGTTGGAGAAGCGGAAGCGCTGGCCGCACACGTCACAGGGGTACGGCTTTTCGCCGGTGTGGGTGCGCCGGTGGCGCTTCATGTTGGGCCTGCTGGTGAAGCTCTTCCCACAGATCTCACAGATATACGGCTTCTCTCCTACAACAGACAGGGAAGATGTTTTACATTACAGTACGGTAAAAAAGAAGTCGTGTTTTAGGAGATAAAAGCTACACAGAAAATGGGACTCCTAACAACCATGCAAGACCACCATGGTAGACCACCAAAATGGTCCCCATAAGATAAACAGCACTTAAAGCTTTCGTCCTTGACAGAGAGGAGAAAATCAAGCTCCACTCTTGCTTAAATCTTAAAAAAATCTACAGCCATCCTTCTACTGTGAGAAGACAACTCAAAACTAAGTCTGAAAGGATGTGTAGCTGTTAAGAAGCCCTTGCTTAGAAAAGGAAATGGACAAAAAAGAGGAAAACTTGCAAATCAAACAAAGCTGCTGGTGTTCCTAGAGCAATGGACTGTGGCCACTGCAGATTTCTTTGGAGAATGGACACATTGAGGCTTCTGTGTAATTTTCTGTTAAATATGTGTTTTCTGCTTTTTTCTTGACTAAATAAAATAAATAACTTGTACATAATGGCACTTTTGACTGAAAATTAAATGAGGGGTAGTCTTTGGCTTTGGCACAGTACTGTATCTCTACTATTGGGAGCTGAAATACGAAATGATATATAAATAACATATGAAATAACAACAAAATAGCAGACAATTATGAGTATTACTATGATATTTGCAGAGTTTAAATACAACAAGAATGGTCTTTTTTAAGTCTTTAAAGTAAAAATGAACTAAAAAGTACAGACATATCTTTTGTTAGTTCCCAGAAATCAACAGGCCTTCTCTAGAGGCCTAGAAGGCCCTAAAGGTTCCCCACTGACAAGAACTAAAAGGAGAAACCCAGCATGGATTTTGTGATGTTCATGGTGTAAAGGGCGACAGGCGTTGCTGCATGCAGCTTTTGTTTTGTCATCGATGATTAATTTCACAAAAGCGCTCCATGGGTGAGAGAAAGGAGTCAATACTAGTGGAGGAGGACAATGCAAGCACTTTCACAGACAGTGAATTCATTTATCTAGAAAGAACACTCATCTCTGCCTGGTCTTCCCTGCAGATAAACGTATTGAGATGGACCCGTGGTGGCCGTTAAACAATAGCTGATGGCTATAATGATTCATAATAAAGATTATGTGTTTATCTTGAAAAAACAAGAAACATTTGTCTGCAAAAAATGGTATCTTGGCAAGTGGAACTATCTTTAATCTAGTCAATATATCTAATATTTCTTATGTTGAGATTGTTGTTATCTCAACATAAGAAATGTTAGATTTCATATGTTGAGCTTTACCTTATTTTCAGACATTTTTTACTTGTTTTGTAGAATTTTATTAAGCAAAATTATCTCACTATATGGGCAGATAATGTTGCTTATTTTAGTAAATACACTTGAAACCAGCAAAATATGGGCATGTCAGTCAAATTTGCTATTCAAATTTGTAAAGCATTATTGGGAAAAAAGGCCACAGGCTACTTCACACCGCCTTCACGTTACTATTACATCACTATATTAAACCCAGAGCCAGAACACAAATCCATTATTCTTCTGGTTAGTTTATTGTTGTTTACACATGTGGTTTATTTGCATGACGTTACTGATTATGATGTGCACATTCGGGTCGTTCTTTCACATTAATGACAGATTTGAGTCACTTTACCCACATGAACATGACCAAACTGAAAGAACTGAGCAATGAGATCTGGAATGTGAACGTAGTCTAAGAAACTTTGTCCAAAATGTAAAACACAGGCTCTACACCGCCCCTAGTGGAATACAGAGTTCATGGTTCTTCAGTGTGATAGTGTGTAGCATTGGAGGGAAGCTAATTTGCATATTAAATATCATATATAAACTCCCCAGACAATCCAGCAGTGGCAAAAATCTACAGGAAATTCTCGTTACAATTGTGGCCAAAAGACGAAACTGACGGATATGGACCACCGGTGCGTTTCATGGCTTGTGAACAAAAATCGATTTCCTGCAGAGTGTTCTTTCAGAATATAATTTATTACATGTTCATGATCAGTGGCCAACATTTATTAAAACTCTCAGAGTAAAAACTGATTTGGGCTCAGTTTATGCCTTTTCAGCACTGAATATGACTACATGGATTGATGTGCATTGATCTCAGATCATTTTTGTTACTTTAACGCACTTGATAAATATGGGCCAACTCATCCCTAGCTTATATACTTACAGCATATTATCTTTACAGTAGAAATGAACAATAAGCCGGCAGTCTGAAGGATTAAGATATCTGCGATCTCCTCACTGTCTTAGAGCCAGAAGTGCTTTATTAGCCCATTTTCCTGCTTTCCTTTAACCTTGAAGAAGGTCATGCAAAATTCCTCAGCATAACAACAACTGGCTGAACTGCAAGGTTATACATAAAGCATCATCCGTCAGGCAGAACACATATGTAAGCAGACCCCTGTTAGCAACAGCAGACACCTCAGTGAGGCTCCTACCAGTGTGTGTCTTCATGTGCTCATCAAAGTACTGCTTCATGTTGAAGTCCTTGCCGCACCACTGGCACATGAACTGCTTGTGGCCGATGTGGATGCTCATGTGAGAGCGAAGCTGATACTTATACTGGAAGCGTTCACTGCAATTCTGCAAAGAGCAAAAGCAAACTCATAAATTAGACGTACTGTAAACTCCAAACACAACACGTTCCAACATTCCAAAGCCGACAGCAGAGTTCAAATGACCAAAGAATGATGTTCATGTTGCTCAAACATCCTGCAAACCATAGGCCAGTCTTTAATGCTAGTAGCTGGGGTGAACAAGTTCCATCAAGATTATAATTTTACTTACAGTGCTGTGCAAAAGTCAGAGACCACCCTTCGTTTGTTTCATTTCCAGTCAAAACAACCATTATGCGTTTTTTTTTCAGCGCCAAAAAGCAGAAGACTTTACAGAAACTTTAACAGAACTTCAAAACAGAAAATCAGCCTGAGCAACTAAATATAATTTTTTTAGTATTTAGTGTGTCCACTCTCTACCTTTATTACAGACTCCATTCTTTTCAGCAGACTTATTTTCAGGTTTTCTAAGAAATCTGTAGGGATATTTTTCCAGACCTCCAAAGTTCAGTCTTAGAAGTTGGTTGCATTTTGTGCTTCTCACCATCTAAGTAATCCCAATTACAAATTTAGACTCATCAGTCCATAAAAGCTGACTGCACATTATGTCCAATCACCTGTGGGTTTTTTTCAGATCTCTGCTGGGACACTGGTTTTGTCCTTACACTTACATACCAGTATTCAGGTTAACCGACACAACTGACGCATATGTTTGGGCAGCTGCTGAGTCTCATTGAACTGGAACTGTGGGTGTTAGTGTCATGATCGAGTCCAAACCAGCTGTTGGAGCTGTGACTAAAACCACAGCACATAGCTTTTAGTGATTTTAGCTTAGTTAACCAAAAAAGCCATGCTTTGTGCTTCCTGTGCGGTTCCTGTTCCAACAATTACATCTACAGAGGGGGAGGTGTAAATAATCAGTAGATACGAAGCGCAACATCAAAAAAACACTTTATTTGGATAGACCACTTTAGATGCTTTGTAGATACTTAATTTACTTTCAGGTTACATTCAACTAAATATGTACTGAGTTGACCATAATTTTCTTTAACTCTAAACCTGCCCTATAAGCTTAACCTCAAACCAAAACCTAAACCCAACCCTCACCCTGGTCCTAGCCCTAACTCTGATCCCTAACCCCTAACACCACCACTCTTTAGAAACTGATCATTTGAACATCTGTAGATAATCTATAAGGGAGTATAATGGACTTTTCAAATGAAGTGAGACGCCAGTTTTGATTTAGTAACGCATAAATCTGAACTTAGCAACATTTACGTTATAACTAGCCGATGTTTAAACTCACGTACAGCTGGTGCAACCAGACTAAAGCTCGATTTTCTCCCCTCTCTCTCAAAGACGAAAGCTTTAAGTGCTGTTTATTTGATAGAGACAGTTTTGGTGATGTACCAGGTCAGTTTTTTGAAAACTCCTGCTTTTAGGAGCTTTATTTCTCATTTTGAGATTTCTGGATTATTGCCTAATTTATGGACATTTTTTACTTGTTTTAAGTATTTTTTTAAGTGAAACTATCTTACTATATTGGCAGACTAATTTTCTTTTAGCTTTCCCTTACATAAATGAAGTGAGGTCTCTGACTTTTGCACAGTACTATACATAATTTGTTATACTGCGAAACTCTCAACATGTCAAAACCTTAGTATTATTTGATATGGTATAACTGTTATCTTACTTTTTGCTATATTTTTAGTTATTTATTGGGGTGTTGCTGGGAGCTCCCAAATAAGAATTTCACTTACTGTTTATTTGGTGCAAAATGTGACGTGACAATAAAAATAAATATCATCAAATCAATAACAGCACATAATGCACCACACAAAGACATTTAACCTCCATGACTTGTATCACATCCTACATGTTATTATGCAGTAATTACATGGAAAACAGTGCTGAGCAATATGTGCGTATGAAACTCACCTCACACCTGAACGGTTTTTCTCCGGAGTGCTGCAGGGAGTGCACCTTCAGAGACATACTGCGCTTAAAGGACTTCCCACACGTCTCACAGGTAAACGGCATGTCCTTAGTGTGGGCTGAGGGCAAGGACACAGCTCTGGTCACTCAAGCACGTCTATCGTATATTCATGATACAGTGTATTGACCATGGAAAAATGCCTCAAAGACGCTTTTAAAAATACCTAGAAAAGGTTATACAGACACAACCAGTCAAATTAAGTCATAAATAAGTCATATTTTATTTGTTCGTGCATTATTTCTTTCTTAAACACTGCATTATGATAGATTGATCGCTGTAAGGAGAACAAAGCGCCTTGTGTCCCTCACTGGACAATAGCTGAGGCTATGAAGGAAGGAAGTACTTCTAGATAAAAGATTTCCTCCCGTCTGTCAGGGGAGATTAAACAACACAGGCTCTGTTTTTCTGCTGTGTCTGCTGCACACTGCTGAGACAAGGTCACCGCAGTTCTCTTCTCTCGGCTGGACACTTCGCTCTCAGACAGGACTCTGCTCAGGGAAGATCAGGCTTCAGCAGATGAAAGGAACTTACTGTAAAAGGCCCAGGTCTGAGGTGTACTGTGTTACGCTGGGCTAGGTTGGGTTCCCTAAAACTTGCTATTGTGTGTGTGAATGATGACGTTCTTTACTGCCACCTACTTGTTTACAGGTAACAGGATGCCAGGAGTTTTCCTTTGCTTTGAAATGAATAGTGCAACGTTTTTCAACCTAATCTCTATCTGTTGCATTCATATTGTTTCGTTGATCACCATGGATATTAATAAAATTAATTAAATAATTGAAATTATTATTATTAAATCAAATTAAGTCTGATTTCCTTGTAATATAAAACAGCAGAAACCCCTTTCACTCGACATTGGGAAGTTGCTGAATTCCACCAGTAAATGATTATTCCAAACAGGTACAGTACTGTGCAAAAGTCAGAGACCACCCTTTAACTTTCCATTTAAACAGCCATTAAGTACAAGTTATTCATTTTTCAGCATCAAGAAAAAAAATAGCTTCTGTTCTTTGCAGGAGTCTTGCTTTCAGTTTTTCAAATAAATCTGGAGGGATATTTTTCCACACTTCCAAAGTTCAGCCTTTAAAATTGGTTGTATTTTCCACTTCTCACCATCCAAGTAATCCCAATTACAAATTTAGACTTCAGTCCATAAAACTTTACTCCACATCTCAGATTCCCAGTTTTCAGTGTTCTAGTGCTAATGTTCTGCTTTTTATCTATTTTCTCAGTATGGGGCTCTTGTCAGCTACACATCCTTTCAGGCATAGCGGTACACGCAGAGTCAGACATAGAGTCTTATCACAGTGGAAGGATGGACAGAAACACCGGTGGATTTTTTCAGATCTAAAGCAAGAGTGGAGCTTAATTTTCCCAGTGATGAAAGCTTTAAGCTCTGTTTATACTGACAGTGATAGTTTTGGTGGTCTACCAGGTCTTGCATGGGTGCAAGGTGTAACAGCGTGTCTTGGCCTGCTTTGTCTTTCCTTATTTCTGTCTGTGTCTGCTTTTGTTTATCTTCCCTCGTGTGTATTGCTCCATGTGCTTTTGTTTACGTAGGCCACGTGCTTTTGTTGTCGTTCTGGTCTTTGTCTCCTCCCTGATTCTGCCTCCTTGTCATTTGTCCCACCTGTCTGTAGCCTGTAGCCTCACCCTTTCATTTGTCCCAGGTGTTTCTGGTTTATTCCAGGCGTATTTATACCCTTGGTCGCGTGCTTTGTGTTTACTTGGTGTTTGTTCTTTCAGGCCTTGTTTTGGTTATCTCTCATTTGTTTACTAGTTTTCTTCATGTCCCCCTGTCTTTGGTTTTCTTTATGTTTCAGTATTTTGCTCGGTAGTGTTCTTGCACTTGCATCCTGCCTCTTCGTCTCTTCCAACGTTACACTAGGAGTTTTTTAATAATTTTTTTGAAAAAACGAACCACTTATACTTACTGGCTGTCTTGACTAGAATTGTGGTCTCTGATTTCTGCTCAGCACTGTATATTTGTAAATGAAGCTGTAAATCTGTACAATTTGTACTTTCAGAGATGGAATCAGTCATCCAGAGGAAATAATTTGAGGTAATTTGTTACCAGCGTGGTGGTGTGGGCAGAGTTTAAACAGGCTCCGTCTGATTGCTTTGCATCAGAAAACCTTTGGAAAAGTGAAAGTAGGGCTGAAGTGCTTTTTTACTGTGATGCTCCTGTTAGAAGGTTGAAAACCTTGTAAGAAAAGCTGTAATAAGAATGTTTTTTATGTCTGGTCTTGTCCCTGACAAATGCACTATTACACTGTAACAGCTGTAGTTTCACACTTGCAATAAATAAACACGTATTTCAAAACATTTATTCATGGAATCCAGCAACGGCCTATTGGCTTATATTATAAGCAAGTCTGGGTTTCCAGGTTTTTCAGAGAAAAGTGTTGAAATTATATCCTATATACCATAAATGATGGTATAATACTGATGCAGATGATAGAGATTAGGTTAAAAAACACTGGAATATTCCTCGAATAGGCTTTCAGGGAGCCCAATGTATCCCAGTACAAGCTCAGTACTCACCAACCATGTGTTTCCTGACATGCGCCATAGTGTAGAATTTCTTCTCACAGATCTCACAGGAGAACTTCTTCTCAGCATAGCCGTGAACGATCTTGTTATGTTCGTGCAAGGACCACAGCTTCTTAAATGCCTTGCCGCATGTTACACACTGAAAGGGTGAGAAAATTAGAGTTCTTAGTTCAGAAAAGTTTCCAGCATGAACTGTCAAACTGTGGAAATAATGAGGTTTGAAAATGCATTACAAAGGGCATCTTGACTGCAGTGGAAAGTAACCAACTGATAATAAATACATTGTAAATGAATTTGCCACTGTGTAAAGCAAATAAAAAAAGATGAACATTCAAAGGATGCAATTTCCTAAATAGCACCAAAGACGCTCTGGGATGTGCTAATGTAGGGGCCGCTGTTTGCAGCCTAAGCATTTCAGTGGGGGAAATGACTCGGCAGTCCTGTTTAATGGCAGGATCCAGCTGTTCCCTGCAGCCCAGCACCGCACATGCATACAGAACACACTCACACACACGCACACACTCACACATACAGGCCTGCATGTCATTCCTCCATACAGAGCAAGAGATGGTGGTGTGTACTGAGCAGAAAACAAATATTAAACCAGAGAACGTATATAAGCTTTGTTGTGGGCTTCCTCACTCCCAAAAGTACAGAATTTACATATTAGTTTAATAACAGATAATGAATAATTTGGAGTAGTTACTGAACAGTAAGTCTTAAAGAGGAATTCCACCCATCTTTCAAAATTTCTGTATAATGAAATGGGTGAAATGTAAATAAAGTCATTCAGATGGTTTGATGTTAAATGCCCTGTTAGGTTCAGACTTACTGATTAAGAATTGTGGTGGTGACAGGAACCGTCTGAAGAGTTTAATGCCTTTAAAAGCTCCTTCATAGAATGTTATTATTTGAAATGGAGAGGTATATACAGGGTGTTGTAAGGCAAAATAGTCCCCTAAGAAAACTATTTTTCAGATTTACTACTATTTTACCATCATCAGCATTACATACAAAAGGTCAGAAGACATGTGTAGGTTCACTGGTAGTTTTGGATAGTAAATAAGATGGCTATATTTGAGTTGTAGACATTGTGATGCCTGGTTCCTCTCACCCCCACTGTCAAAACAATGACAAAGGTGCAAAGCCCTTAAAATCTTTTCACTGAAAAATATGTCTTACAAGTAACAAATGAAGAATAAGCCTGAAGTTTAAGAGGTTAAAAGTCAAAATGTCAACACAAACATAGCTGTATAGCTTTATTTACTATCCAAAGCAATAGTGACTATGTGTGTCTTCTGAGTTTTTATAGGTATATGTGTATTTTATATGTATATGTTTAATATGCTTTATATGTTTCTTTGGGAGCTATTTTGCCTTTCAACATCCTGCATCTTTCTCTCCACCATTTATAGATTAAAAAAAGGTTTTAGGCCCAAATCTTCTTAAACTCCTTTAAAATAAAGTATTTTTTAGTTTCTTTGAGGATTTTTTTAGTCTTAAAATGCCCTGCCTGCACCTCTCTGCTGTGAATGGATTAAAAAAATTTTTTTGGCCAAAAGCTTCTCAAAAATATCATATAAAATGTCTTAGGCATCAGGTAGATGAAGAGTACTCATAACCATGTAGGTAGTTTTCAGAGGCATTAAACTCCTCAGATGTCTGGTTCCTTTCACCACTACTGTATTCTGAGTACGTTTCTCTGGAATACTCGAGATTATGATTAACAACCATTACAAGAAATTATGCATAAATATGTGAAAAGTAAAGCACATATATCAGTGCTACACTGTTATGCTAGCAACTACTTTACATTCTTTATATCTATATATTGTTACTTGTTTCCTCCACTGAAAAGCAAAGACAAACAGAAGTAGAGAAGAGTCTTTCTCCCTCAGAAGGCTGAACCTGATCGGTCAGAAGCTAAATGCACAAACTTGCAGCATAAGCCCAGTAAAAAAGGATCCAGCATTGTGAGACAGCAAATCCAGGGTCAGATTGAGCTAAGATTAAAGTTAGCTCACTAAACAAGAAAACCTTGCTTTTTGTGACAGGCCCCCTGATAATGTGCATGATATGTGTTTCATTTACCTGTATGCTCTTCTCACAGTTGGTCTGGTGGTGAAGCAGCAGCTCGCTCTCCAGCAGGAAGCGTTTGCCGCACTTGTTGCAGATTTGCATGCGATTGTGGGTGACGTTCATGTGCTTCTCCAGGTACCAGCGGTTGTTGAAGACACGTGGACATTTCTTACAGGGAAAGTGCTGCTTCTCCTCCAGCTTCACCTTCTGGCCCGCTCCCTCCTGCTCCTTCTTCGCCCGCCGGCCTTCATGGCCTGAGGGTAGGGCTTTAATGATTAGTCGACACAGTCAATTAGTTATCAATAACATCAATGATTATACACTGCAATGTTTATTGGTGATCTCAATGTTATGTTAGCACCAAGCAAACAGTGGTTAATGTGTGCATCTCACAGCTGCTCTCTGGATTAATCGCAAAAATTTCTAACCAACATTCAAGTAACGTATTACTTTGGAGGTTGACTTTTCAAACTCAAAGCCTGTCTCTGAATATAACTGGAGCCTATTAGCTTAGCTATATACCCAATTTACACTAGTACTCTAGCTATATACCCGGCTTACTCTAGCAAGCCTGCATAGTATATGGTTCAGAGCCCACAGAAGGCCTGTTAACATCAACAAACATAGAAATATTACTGTTTGTGCTATGTGATATTACATGGCTGTTTGATGGTGTAAGTATGAAGACTGGATGAGTCAGCTTGGTTATTAAGTCCAGTGGGACGTTTGTTCAATGTAACACCGCAAACATACACTGACAAGTAATGTACATGTAAAACGGTAAGGAAAATTCAGTGTTGTTTATTACGTCGCCTTTAATATTGGCTTATTTTCTATTAAAACATTCCTTGCAGTTATAGAAATAATCATTAGCTGCAGTTCTACCTGGGGCCAGCGAGGCGCTAACCAAGCCCTGGCGTAGCGAAACAGCCGCGCTTGCTCTCGTTCCACAGCGAGGTCTCTCAAAGATGGCTTGTCCCACCTCTGGAATACTGAGATCGCTCTCCTCCTCCTCTTCCCCTTCTTCCTCTTCATCATCATCTTCCTCATCATCCCTCTCCTCCTCGCTGCTGTTTTCCATCTCTTCCTCACCTCTCCGCTCATATTCCTTCACTTCAGGTCCAGGGTCATCGTCGCCCCCTGCGTCGGCCCGGATGTCACAGCGACGGGCCACCAGTGAGGATATGTCCGCGGTGACAGCCTTGCCCTCCGACCCCTTGGAGACATTCAGGGTTTGATTGTTGAGGTTGACCTCCACGATAATTTGCTCCCTGTTAAAGGAGGCAGAGCTCTCTTGGGGGTCCACCTCTTCTTGGCTGTCCCCTCCTTCCACTTTGCATAAGCCCCTCCCTCCAGCTCCTGGGGCGCCTCCCCCTCCAGTATTGTCTTTTATGTAGAAGTGTTTGGCCTGCGGGTTGGTACCGGTGTCCACCAGCCGCACCGAAAAAGGGCCACTCCCTTCTCGGGTGAAAATACTTCCCACCTCCACCTCCTGCTTGACCTCACGGTACAGCTGACTGCGATGTTCCTCTTGGCTGCCCATCGTCTCTGCGGAGCCCAGTGACTGGCTGCTGATGAGCTCGCGGCAGGATGTGACCAGTTCACTCATTTGGAGAACAGATGCGGCGCGCAGGACGTCCCGCACTGTCCGGCCCGTCACCAGCAGCTTGGAGGTGTAGATGAAGTTGAGGATCTGCTGCAGGCCTTGGCTGGTCAACGCCTCCAGCGTCAGGTCCACGCGCCGTAGCTCTCTGCCCCGCGTGAAGAGCGCCTGGAAGAAGGGACTGTGGGCAGCCAGCACCCCCTTGTGGGCGGGGAAGGTGCTATGCTGGCGCACCAGAACGAGGTCAACGTCGCACAGGTCCGGCTGGAAGAGACGCTGCTCGTTCAGCCTGTCCATCAAACGGGTGAAGTGCAGCGCCACATCTTCCACCAGAGAGAACTCAGCCAACGGGTAGTCAGCAGTCTTCTCCACTATGAGCTGATGCAGATTTGCAGAGGTGATGAGGAGAGTAAAGAAAGGTAAAGATCCATTAATCTTAATATCTGTAAAAACATCTGGAATCAGAAACCACCCTGTGTTTATTTAATTTCCTGTCAAAACAGCTATTTTTATATTTATTTCCAGTACAAGTTATTACTTTATCAGGAGTGATATCTGAGAAGATTAGATATGAGATAAACCACTTGCCTAAGAAAGTTTCCAAACCACTAGTTAAAAAAAACAGATACAGATTCAGAAAAAAATGGGATTCCTAAGAACCGTGCCAAGACCTGGTAGACCACCAATACTGTTGCCATCAGATAAGAAGTCATTAAAGCTTTCATCTTTGAGAGAGAGGAGTAAATCTAAATCTTGCTTCATATCTAAAAATTTCCACAGGTGATTCTGTCCATCCTTCCACTGTAAGACACAATGAGTCTGAAAGGATGTGAAGCTGACAAAAAGCCCTTACTGAGCAAAGGAAATGGACAAAATGAGAACGTTTGCAAATCAAACAAAGAAGCTGTTGTTCTCAGAACAATGTACGGACTACCCCAGAGTCCAGACCTCAACATCACTGAATGTGTTTGGGATTATAAACTGGATAATTGTGGGGGAAATATCCCTGCTAATTTTTCTTGAAAAACTGAAAGCAAGTCTCCTGAAAAGAATGAAAGCTGTAATAAAGGTAAGAGGCGGACACTACTATACTAATTTTAATTTTCTGTTAAATATATGTTTCTGTTTTTTCCCTAATGCTGAAAAATAAATAACTTGTACTTAATTGCCAGAATTTAAACAGTCGTAAAACGTAAAATATCAAAAATCGAACAGAATATTGACCTCAGAATCTGAAATTGAACCTGAAAATATATGTATCATTAAACTCCCCAGTTCTAGGAATTTCTCCTGTGCTTGGTCACATCAGGCCACATTCAACACAATACTGCACCTTCAATTAAAATACACAGCTTGATCTGCATGCATGTACTTAAGTAAAGAAAAAATGTGGCAATTAGACTCTGCATGTCCCATATAGTTGTATTACACAGGGAAAGTGTCTAGTGTAAGAAACAGAAATAACAATGACAATAACAATGCAGGGCAAAAGAAATGCTACTGGCAAGTCAACATTAGCACAGTGTGTCAGGAAGCTATCTAGCAAGATAGAGTAATAAAGGGAAGTGCCGGGGGAAAGAAAGTGTTATAATGGCAGGGTGTTATAATGTTTTTAATCCACAAATTACAATGCAACGAAAAACTTGTTCTAGAAAAGTGAGCAGCAAGAACATTGAAGATTCCAGCTTATTGTGTATGATCAGTGAACTGCCTCACACAATCCTGCACACATCCACTCACGCTCCTGTTATAAGAGCATGACAACATTTCTCAGTATCATCAGTACTTCTCGAACACTAAACACCTGCATGTATACTACTGTTCAAATGTTTGGAATCACCTGTCATAATAATAACTGTTCTTCAATAATAACTTCTACAGTGTAGATTAAAATGGTTATAAACTACACACCAAAATAATCTGAGATTTAAAAGTATCCTGGGCTCAATAAGCAGCTAAAGGCACAAAATGGAAAAATAGCAAATGTTATTATATAATAAACTATAATGATCAATTTATACTCATTTCTTGTTATGAAATTACAATAAATATCAATCTGATCAGCGAGATTTGATCGTTGCTTTTCATACATGAAGCATTCTGGATATTATTTTTTTTATTCCGTTCATTCTTGATGCTATACAGCTTTCTCAATTAATTATGGAATCATTATCAATGAAAACGTATTCATTTACTACAAATTGTTTGAAACCTATAAAATATTATTATCATATTAGAATCATGTTAACATGTAACAGCAACAAAACTGGATTTCTATGAATGAAAACAGTGATTCTAAACAGTGTATCATAAGAACAATTATAGAGAGCCTGTAAACAACAACAACAATAACAACAAGTGTATAATAACTGCATAGCAACACAACACTGACTGGATGTGAGCCACTTATGCTATTATCTTATTTTATTTATTTATTTTACCAATTGTTCCTTCTTCGATAGTTTCTTTTTGCAAATTAAAAAACTCCTTTATCCATTATTTTTGTTACAACCTTCACAAAAAGAAATATTGTACACTTTGTGTAAATATCACGTCTTGTGAAAATGTCTTCAAGTATCATGATGTTACATTTTCCCAATATCGCCCACCCTTAGCACGTTATGAACCTGACCACGCTACTGTCTTATTACTGTCTTACTGTCTTATTACAGATAAAAGTCCAGCGGTCACAGAGGCAGCTGAGAAGCATGCAGGCCGCGTGCCGCCCCTTTAGCGTTTATCCTAGCACAGGAAGGACAAGGTTTCGATCTGGAAGGCATCTTTTTCAGAACTCTAAAAGAAGACAGAGAGAGCGGAGCGAGAGAGGGAGGGAGGGAGGGCGAGAGAGTTAGTGTGAGAGAGTGTTTGTGGGATGCATTGATATTCAGAGCCACGCTGCAGCCATTAGCTTCCTCCTCCACCTCTCCGTCCTGTCTCTGAGGAGTCATCGTTATGCAGAAGACAAAACGCAGGCCAATAAACAATTAGGAAGAGCAGAGAGAGTAAATAGCAGACGCTCCAAACAATTATACACATTCATTAAGCAGACTTTTATAGCGAGTCACAGTCAGTGACTGGAATTAAGGCAAAGTCCTCTTCATAATGTCAGTCATTGCCGTTAGGGCGTCCTTAGTTTTCACTGAGGAGGAGACTCTGGTATGTCTCTGTCCCATGTGGATTTCAGTGATAAGCCCAAAAACACCGAACCAACAAAGTTGTAATATATATTGTAATAAGGTTTAAAAGGATTATTATTATTTTTAGATTAAATATGACATTGATATGACCCCAATACAATCTACAAAAAAGTGTATATATATTATATATGCTATCATATATACAATAATAATAAATAATATATATCAGGCCCATTTTATCAGCTCCACTTACTATATAGGTGCACTTTGTAGGTCTACAATTACAGACTGTATTCCATCTGTTTCTCTGCATACTTTGTTAGCCCCCTTTTACCCTGTTCTTTAGTGGTCAAAACCCCCATGGACCCTCACAGAGCAGGTACTATTTGGGTGGTGGATCATTCTCAGCACTGCAGTAACACTGACGTGGTGGTGGTGTGTTAGTGTGTGTTGTGCTGGTCTGAGTGGATCAGACACAGCAGTGCTGCCAGAGTTTTTAAACACCTCAGTGTCACTGCTGGACTGAGAATAGTCCACCAACCAAAAGTATCCAGCCAACAGCGTCCTGTGGGCAGCGTCCTGTGACCACTGATGAAGGACTAGAGGATGACCAACACAAACTGTGCAGCAGCAGATGAGCTATCGTCTCTGACTTTACATCTACAAGGTGGACTGACAAGGAAAGAGTGTCTAATAGAGTGGACAGTGAGTGTTTAAAAACTCCAGCAGACTGCTGAGTCTGATCCACTCGTACCAGCACAACACACACTAACACACCAACACCACGTCAACTGATCTCCTCAAGATGAGTATGCATGATAAAACAATGGTGGATCGTGCATTTAGAGGGAGCTGTTACTTTTTCAATTTGACACGTTAAACGTTAATTAGACAACTGAATAACAAAAGTTTCACATATTACTTATCATGACTGCTGTTAACTCTGGTCAAACAATACCAAACTGACTGCTTTACATAATCAGCTACTGACTTTCCTAGCATCTTGGTGAATTTGACCGTAAGATTTGGCTTTTTTGAGTCATTTAAATTGAAAACTTCAATAACAAGATCTTTAAAAAGAAAGCCTGCATTTTTAAAATTCATCTAGCCATTAGATGGATCCATTTTAATTTCATGCAAAATATGAACACTACTAAAAGCCGGTGTTTATTAATTAGTCATTTTCTCACAATTCAGCAGTCTATTGAATGGGTCTTTTGCTGCATGTAACAGGTCAGAACAGATTAGACGCTTGCGGTAAAAACAAAGCTTTGAGGCTTTAATATAATAAGAGCAATCCAAACATGTAGTAATGAAAACAGGCAGAGGTCAAAACCAGAATGGCAAACGAACAACCGATACATCTATAGAGAAGTAGAGGGCCAGGCGAAGGTCAAAAACCAGAGAGTACAGTAACAGAGCAAACTAACAAAAAAATGCTCAGTATGCTCAGGAGAGTCTGGGGTAATACTTGCCAAAGAGGAAGTGAGTACAAACACTTTTACAGCAAAGTGGTGATGAAGTTCAGGTGTGTCCGGTTATTATTCGTGTGATGATGATCTTAAGAATGGTTGGTGATTGGAAGATGACGGTGGAGTGAGTATCCCATACTCTCCCAGGGAATTCTGTGAATTGGAGTCTGGTAGTGGATCAGGGTGCTGAGCGCTCAGCATTACAGAGCCAGAGGGAGGCGTGACGCTGCGCTATCATATATACATCTTTGTCATTTCTGGCAGGTCCATTTCCGAGTTCAGGCGGAAGCTATGAAGGAATATTTCAATGGTGTTCACTTGTCAAAGTGACTTCACATTCACAGACATCAATAAAATTTCACCTCCAGCCACAAGTCCAATCAAGACTCTGGGCCTGCATTATTTATGACAGCAAGACTGTAAACAAGTGCACAGCAGTAACACACATGCCTGGCTGAGAGGTTTCATTACAGGCTGAATCCCCCGCCTGACTCCTTCACAGATCAACACAGCCTGCTTCATTCAGGCTAACAAGACATAAACCTGGACAGCTGCTACAAAATATTCAGCTTTAAGAGAGCTTACAAAAGAGTTAAGAGGTCAAAACTTGCATTTTTAGCTTGTAGTAAGCACTAAGGCTCGATCGATATATCGTTTGGCTGAAAAAATCAGTTGACATTAAAGGGCCAATATCCTACAGTTTTGTATATTTTATGTATGTTTTCCCTGTGGTTCACTTACATTTGTGTAGTTTTTATGCACCAAACAC